GCACTAAGATCTTCAATTCAGATCTCTGCATTGAGATTAGATCGTTTCTAGTTTTAATTCCCTGTGGTAATTTCTTCTGTTTTGTTAAAATATTTTTGACAGTAACAGATTCTCTCAAAATTATTTTGTCACATCTTCGTCTAGAATCCTCATCTTCTAAGTTCGGTTTTCCCAATCTAATAGCATATTCAAGGTTTTGCTCAGCTTGTATATCCAGTTTTTTCAGTATTTCCTTCACAATGATTAGATCTTCAGATTTTTAGCATCATCTATTTCAGACTCATCCATTCATGATTCCTGTACTCCATAATGAATTACATTCCTCTTGCATAACTCACGCTCCTCAATCTCCCTGATGATCCCAGAGTGAGTTTTGCGGTTAGCTCCACGAGTCTCAATACTTTAGTTCTGTTTACATTTTGTTTACTTGTTTTGCCTTAGTTTCTTACAAGGATTCAATGTTGTCACATCTTTTTTAAAAGTTTCTTCTGTCGTTCCTTGCAAGATTGTATGTCCACTGTATGTTTACTTACTGCATTTATAATTTTGTTGACATGTTTCTTGATACTTGTCATTTCCTCCTTTTGGTTACTTATGAGTAAGTCTTCAAGATTCACGAGTTTATCACTCAACTCCTTAGTAGTTTTTTCTAACTCTTCTCAAAGGATTTTCCCCAACCCTCTTATTTGTAGCCTTCTCGAAGTTGAATGAGCAGCAATCAAATATTTCAGCGTTAGGTTTTCCTATATAAATTATTTTAATATACAATTTAAATACATAAATTATTTTAATATACAATTTAAATATATAAATTATTATATAAACTACATTATATTACCAACTTTAAGACAAAGGAATGAACCACATGTGCAAACGGAAACACAGGCTGACTGGAACCTTTCATAGCCATTACCTTTCATTGTCATCAGTTTAAAATATTATAATACGAGTTGTTGGAAACATCGAGGTCACAATCTTTATTATACTATGAACCTTCCAGTAACCTTATGCTGTCATCCCTAAGGTATCTTTATCTTCATTCTATAATATAGGATCATTTATTATAGTTAAATAAAAAGAAGTTAAATTATTCCCTTGTCACCACAACCAAACACAAGATGTGTATATTTATACATCACCAATTTCATTATACTATTATCAAGATCTATAGGGTCTTCTTAACCCCAAGCTTCATTTGAGCCTTTTAATTCAAAAGTAAAGTGCAATACATCATTTTGAGACAGTTATTTCTTTAAACCTTTATTTCAGACTCCAATTAAAAGAATAGTGATTATGTTACCTTTGCATGGGCAATAAACTTCAGCAATTCAAATCTTCTGTGGGCACGCACAACTTCATATTAAATCAAGAAGACATGTTTTTAATATACAGGTGAATAATTATTTTGCCTAATTTATAATTAAATTATAAATTCAAGATTATCCCTAAAATAATAAGTATTACAAATAGTATATAATAGAGGCGTCACCGGATTTTGATGAAATAATTATTAAACTCCCATCTTATTTCTTACAAAAAGCATTGTAGGACTGAAAGACGGGTGGGTCTGGTCTCGTTTGGCATCAAGATGCTGCACCTGAATTTTATACACAAAAACAGTGACAAAGGAGATACTGTAACTTTCCATCCATGACACACCAGAATTCTTCTGCAACGCAATATCTGAATGCCAATGGGCAGCCGCAAACTGATATGAATGGCATCTCATAAAGTACATTTAGCACTATTCCCACCAAAAGTTTAAAGAAAAAATTTGGAGCCGCTTTTGAGAAAATCTTGTTTTTGTTATTTTTTAAAATTGCAAATACTTCAGAAAATATTGCAGGAAAATTACTAAAATTTTCAAAACAATGTACTGACCTTAATAAAAGAAGTAATTATGGGCAACAAATTTAATTTGAGAGAAAAATCTCTAACTTAAATTTTGTAGTTGAAGACAGCCACCAAAAAAATTCATAATTTTTAAATTTTCGAAAATTCAGAGTTAACTGTTAAAATCGAACCTGTGCCACTTTTGTAAACGTATTTAACTCCATTTTTACACGAAATTTGAAGAAATATTTGGAGCCATTTTTGAAAAAATTTTGAAAATGTCCGGAGGGCTTCATGTACAGAACCCAAATATTTTAAAGAATGTTTTTCAAAATCTCAAAGCTTTGACTCGAGCCAAATGGACAAAGGGTTCAATTAGAAAAACTCCTACATATGGTTTAGGCTCTTTAGTAGTCTTCACAGACAGTCGGACAGACAGAGACTGCCCTTTTGAAAGATGAAAAACCACTTTTGCGGTATCAGGGGACCCTAAAACGTGATGAAACTCAGTATATACGTACGTATACGGGAAAGTAAAAATTTGAAACATACATTTTCCCAACTCAATAAAGGTTTGTTTTCGGCAGTTCGTAATGATTTCTATCTAGTATTTCTTTTAAAAAAATTATTTATGAAATAATAGATAAGTGGGTTCCCGAAACGAATTAACAGTTATAAACTTACAGATAATCCCTTACTTTGATGTTTGAGCTATTAAAGGATGGGAACAAATTACGTTTATTATAAAATGAGAAAGTGTGAAACTGTGTAGGAGGATGATGTAATATAACAATTGATCGTGAGGCTACCTCTCTTAGGACTGTGTCACATGAACATTGCGTTGAACATTGCTAGGCAATGAGCATTGACTACACACATTCCAGATGGTGTTGGGGCAAGCAGACTGGGAATTGCGGGAAAATTGAAATTATATTATCGTAAAAGCGAGATTTTGTAACGTTATAAATGTAATATCATTATTTCTTGAGTTGAAAGAAGATATCTTTAAGAGAAGCACATCAGAAAGAAATGTACAATTTAAATCACCTCTAATCAACTTGCGCAAAAAGATTCGATCATTCAGACAGCGTTGGGATTTAAGGGAAGGATTATCAAGCATTGATTCAATATGTGCAAAACAGTGGTCTACGAACGGATCCAGTACCCCCACGTATTGCTAAAAAAGGAGACCATACAACAGAGGAGAACATCAAAGTGGGTTTCACATAAGAGAGATTTTAATGTTGTAATTCAATGAAATTCATAATAGGTGGGCTTTCTAAAACCAAAGATCTAATTAGATTTATTCCCAGTGAATTGGATATGTTAATTAAATGTCACAACAGAATCAAAAATCACTCCCAGATCTCTCGTGGATGTAACTCAATGGAGTTAAGTTTGTAATAAAAAGCTTCTAACGATCTAGCTCTGGTAAAAGTTATTGACTTACATTTCTTGACTTGAATGAGGAGATCATTTGTAACATACCAATCAGACTGAGATTAAATGCTCACTGTAAGAGAACCCTGTTTCAGACTGACTGAATTCTCAACAAGAGTTTAAGATCGTCTGCAAAGAGCAGATATTCAACATCATTGATCACCTCACAAATGTCATTAATAAAAATATTAAACAATAAGGGACCCAGATGAGAGCCTTGTGGAACACCTGATAAAGCTGCAATAGGCTCAGAGTTAACACCACCGTATGATACCGTCTGCAGTCCACTACTGAATCAACTTAGCAATGAACCACATATCCCCAAGTGTTCAAGTTTGTACAACAAAATGGCATGGATAACAGAATCAAAAGCCTTAATAAAATCTGTATAAATACAGTCAGTCTGACAATTACGCTCCATCCCTTTAAGAATGTTGGTAGAATAGAATACACAATTCAACTCAATATTTCTGCCACTTATGAAGCCAAATATTAAATTGTTCTTGCACTCGTTTTTTTTCTGCATCTTTAATAATAAAAATGAATCGCAAAATGTGTTTTGCATAACTCAACAACTCATACTCAGGCACTACTCACAACGCCTGGACCAATTTGGCCAATTCTTTTTCTTAAAATGTTCGTTGAGTTCAAGGATGTTTTTACATTGAGCAAAATTCGAATAATTGCCGGAAAAATCCTAATAACAGCCTTTTTATTTTTTTCTTATTCATACAAACGTTTTCTAACTAAACGTAGAGTCAATTTTTGTTAATAATAATGATTCACATGATTAACAATAAAGTGATTACTTACTTTTAAATGCTTATAAATGTTTTATTTAATTATATTTTTATCACATGCCTACACCAGGGTGACGGTTCTGTTCAGGAGAATTTTTGCCAGACTATAAATATGTAGGGACAAAAAATTCACATTACAAATCTTTTTGACAGACGAAGTCTGGTGGTCGCTAGTTTAAAATAAATTCTTGTAATCATGTATAGCACCGGAAGAGGAAAAACACTCTGTATTATGAAACATTATTCTAGTCAATGTAAAATCAAAAAAACATCAAATCATGTTCACAAGGTAATGCAAATTACCCCAACAGGTTTTCCAACTATTTATAATATATCAAAGATTTTTAGGAATTGATTATTTACTACAAAATAATATATGCTCTGTGTTAAATACACATAATTTGTTGCGAAAAGATCACTTAGAAAGAATAATGAACTCCAAACGTAACAAAACGAAGAAAGAGCGAGAAAATATAATTAGTGCAATTCATTCCTAATATCCGTCCTTTTGATTATTGTGTATTGAATTGAAACCTTTCGATTTAGAAGTTGGCGGTACTGACAGATAGCTGTCAACGCCACAATATTGTACATTGAGTAAGGCCTATTAGGCTGCACCAACAATATACCATATTTATGAGCATACTTTGGTCCTATGGAGCAGATAAATTGGGAAAGAACAAAATATAATTAAATGTCCTAAAAGCTACATGCACTGTCCTCCAAAAACTTCAAAGATGCATTTCAAATTAATAGGGCTGAGAGTTCAGCCAGATGCTAGCCTCATTTAAAGATAGATACAAATTTTGAAAACTTTTCTGGCATTGCTGAATGTGTATTTCCATCTAAATTCTGATACTGTTTTTTCGCAGCATTGCATAACTTTCATTATACTATGTATTATTCCAGGTGTATATTCCATAGTACACGAGAGTAAAGAAATAAATGTCTGGTTATTAAGAAATAAATTATTAACTACAATAGCTTAATTGCAACTTTGGAACTTAATGATAAATTGTTTGTGAAGAGCCTTCATTATCTATCTTATGTGTAGAGAAAAAGTTCCTCTCAAAAGAATGTCAATACTTAACATTCTTCATTCATCTGTGCAAAATCTTAACTTATGAAATCTCGATTAAGACCAACAAACAATTTTATTTTTCAACAACAGTATAAAACTCACCTCTCTGTGGTCATTCCATTCAACACAATCAAGAAGTTTCGGCAAAAGGTTGGGCACATGCTCAAGACAATCATATCGCAACTGCCAAATTACTTTGCGCTCTTGTTCATGCATCTCATGAAGAGGATCCTTCTCTTCCATGAGACGCAGCTGTTCAAGGCAATTTTTGGTAGCTTCAAGAGGCAATGGAGCACTCTCTGATGAATCCTCACTATTTTGGGCAGCAAACTGTAGCACTTTATCCGATGATGGATAAAGCACTAGTTTCTCTGCATGATACCTGTTTTCAGAAGATAATATACAAAAAACATTAAACATAGTTCTTAATTACATTTTTAATATTAATTTTCTCAACATTACTAATAAAACAAAACAGCAACAATCTAAAAACAAATATACTCTAAGGTTCCTTCTTTGCCTCTGCTGTATGCTCATCCATATGACCACTGTTGCACCATGGTAGGGATGAGTTGGGTTAGTTGGATGATGTCAATTTGTTATTTGTTGCGTATTAGATATTCTACATGCATTCAAAATTATTTTCTTTCAAAGATAAGACTTAATTGTTATGTGTCAAATTGAACAAATCATATTTATCAACAAGAATTATCTCGGCTTTAATTTAAAAGATTTTTGAAAATAAAAAACTACAATAATGATGTACAATTTCCATTAGAATTTCAAAAGTTAATACAAAATAAAAGTGGAAAATGAAGCTTTATGATGGTGTCTGCAAAACTTTAGTTTTGTTAATAAGCTTGATATACAATAACCGTTTTTACCCAACTATAACAAGACTGAACACAAGACAACCCCTACTTTTAAAGAAGCATTTTGAGAATTTTTTTAAATACTTTAATTAGTTCCAAATATTCAGTCATAGGATCAAAAATTGTCTTATCTCAAAAACGTTTTTGTTCTTCCAACTCTTTTCATTATGAAGTTACCATCTTCAACTTCGGTTTCTTTAATTCTGGATTTCCTCCTTTACATTTTGCATCATTCTGATTTATCAAGACCTTTAAAAGTTTCATATTAAATTGCATGTCGCCTTTCATCTGATGCTACCCACGAACAGTTCCTCGTACGAAACCATTGGTTCTTCCTCAAGGTTCACACACTTTTTAAATTTCCAAATTCCCTTACTTTTCCAGGTTATGTTTATAAATTATTTCCATTATAAATGACCAATAAAAATGGTAAAGAATGAAAAAAATACATGTTTATTTATGAAATAATTTATATTATAATGAAATGACTTAACAATAATTAATTACTTATAAAAACAAACTATAATCAATAAAACAGTATCTTGCCCCCCTCTCCCTCTACTTCAGCAATGAACGAGTTCACAGGGCTTTTATTTAGCTTTTCTTTTCTCAACTTCCTTTTTCTTAACTAGTTGTCCTTTCATCTTCACATAAAGTTCTTCACAAGAGCAGAAGCATTGTTAGCATGCTGTTGTGAAGCATGTTACTGAATCAGACTTTTAGTTATTGTAAATTGTGCAACTCCTCATGGTTTTGTGGCTCCATCTCAAAATTGTCTTCAAGTGACTAAAGAATTCTCCTCCAGGTTTTCACCAACGCTGTCCTTGTTGATAGAAAATCAACTTCAGACTCGGTGTAAGATAAAACAAGCATCATTGTAATAAATTATACCAATTCACTAGATATCTTCGAAATCCAAAATAACTTTTCCAAAATCAATCCAAATTTTTGTCCTTCGGGTAGCTTTTGAACACAGACAGAACCCTGGCTTTAGAGCAATCTCCTTCAATATCGTCTCAGCTTATTCCCGCTATCTTTCCATTCATCCTTGAATTCATGAATATAGCTGAATGCCGGCCACTGATTTCACAGGTGTATTCATGGTAACTCTTTATCTTCTTATTTCTCAGAAGGCGTTTGAAGTAGCATCTAGAGGTCGGGGCTTCAATTAAACATTTTTTTTTTAAATTTTGTTGTTAATATAAATTGCTTGCAACGCTAGATTGATTGATTATTTTATATTCCTAGGTGTGTCAACTGCTAAGGTAATAAGCCAAATGCAGGGCACATTTTATCACGAGAAGTGGAAGTATTCCTCCACTAGCAGAACACGAGATTTAGCCAATATACTGGTTTGACGTTTTCCCGTCTAGGTAACTTTGCTAGCAAGACACCATCTCAGTCCTGGAGTAAGCTCTATGGGTAGAAAAGAGTTTAAGGAAGTTTAAGGATCAAAAGCAAAAGATCGTGCATGGACTGTGGATCCAGCATTCGTCTGATTGGACAAATCACGAGAAAGCATCCGATGAGAGAACATAACCATTCTAAATTCTCATTAGATGCAGCTGAATTCAACCTTGCTATGTAGCTAGTCATAAATTTGCCACCATTGAGACTCGACACCTGGCACCACCTGGTTAGAGCCACTACAGTTGCCTTGAGCTAACTCAGCTGGCACAACACTAAAAACAAATCTTAAGATGAAACACTTATGCATTGTTATAAACATTTTCTTACTTAGGAAAGTTAATAGTGAGAGCAGTTGCATGTTCTACATTAGGATTCGATACCACTGTTCCTAGGGGATGCAGAATATCATCGCTTTGCATGTCCTCAGCATACGTCCACATGTAGAGGGTCATAGCACCAGACTTCAATTGGCTCTTGAAGTCGTACACGGTAGTGTTTACCCAAGCTAAGGGATTAATATACAATTCCTGAAAATAAAAGTTAGGTATGGTAAGTAACTACTCAATGGTATGGTCTTATAAAACAACATTGTTAAATCACAATTACGCACTACAACAAATGGAGGAAAATGAGCATTATATCAATGAATATCGTAACCCACAACAAAATATTAGAAAAAGTCATCAGCAGAACATAAAAAATAATTATTGCAAACAACAAAATTATGGCAAAAGAAACAACAAACACGAACTGGACTGAAACACTGGTTACTCACTTTTCTAACTGAATAATTCAATTAGAACTTCAGGTCTATCATCAAAGAGTGTACCTGCTTTGTGTCTTTCAGTCTTCGAGCCTTCACACCTTTGGCTGTTTTTGAGATTTCATACACAACAAGACATAATCGTGCCATGCGAGGAATATTTTGCACTTGAAGATCAAAGTTCAGTTCTTCTTCCCACTCACATTCCCCTTCTTTACTGACTTGTTTCTCAGACGTTTTTTGTGGCTCTGTCAAGGATTTACCTCCATGGAAAAGACCAGCTTGCAAACCAACCTATAAAATGAGTTTGGAATTAGAAATGAAGTCCAATTAAGAGAAAAAGTGCATGATAAAAATTCATTGTAAAAATGTAATACCTTAAGGAATTCTATTATTAATTTTAGGTTTTTGGCATAAAAATGTATTCATTGGGGTTTAGAGGGCACTTCAAATACTGAGGTCATTGGCACCTTGTCAAAGTATTTGGATATTTTTTTAAATTTAAATAAATTTAATAAAAGGAATGTTGCACATGAAACTTACCCGATGATTAAAAGTGGGTAGATAACCTAAAAAATATCTTGAATTCCGCATAAAACATACAAGTAGCAACAAAAGGTCACGACCATAAAACGAACACACAATATTTATCAGTAGAACTTTGCCAAGGAGCCGAGAAACCTATATACATTGTCTTTATAACTCGAATAAAATAATGTTCCGCTTTCTCTCAAAAAACAAAAAAGTTTTGAAAGCATGGAATCGTCACTGCCAAACACCTCCTGTAAGAAGTTGCCCCGGCCAAGTCTTCATTGACTAACAACAAATTTCATTCACTGCAACAGTGCATTTCACAGAAAGAACCGTCCTGCACGAGTCGCAAATGGGAGGAGATTAACTTCGAAGGAGGACAATAAGAGAAGTGGTGGCGCCCAATACAAAGACTGGTTAAAATGACTTCCTCACGCCTACAAGATCGGGATGAGAAATATCAGGGACTAACAGAATCCTTTATCACGCTTAATTTAAAAGTGGTATTGCGCCACTCTGTTTGCCACGTCCTATAATGTAAATATAGGTTGTTTCAAACAACCCTTAACATCGGACAATAGTACAGAAGGAATGTCAAGATGAGTCTTCCGTCGCCTGGTCAGTCAGCTCACTCCGTGATTCCCACTTGTCCTAGAGCCCAATTGAGTTCCAGTTCATAGTGGTGAGACAAAAGATGATGGATCGGGGTTGGAAATGATTTAGTCATATAGTCTGATGAAGAACAGTAGACAGCTTGAAGATAGTTGAGAGAATCGGAGCAGAGAACTACTCGCTGTAACGTCGCTAACTCCATGAAATTTAAAGCTTGGAGAATTGCATATATTTCTACATGCTAATACACTGCACTGGCAATGTAGCCAATATGATTTGGTGACCCTGATACAATAAAATCTACATGATACTGTGTCACAGGTCTTTGCTAGCAGGGTGCTGGAAAAAGACAGAAAGACCAGGGTACCATGCTTGTTTTCTACATTTGTCCTCAGTGAAGGACACCTTCTGGATCTCTCTCATCTTTCTCATCTTCTGGATCTCTCCCCATGAGGAAGATAAAGAACTGGTTGAAATTGGCCGGATGGTCACCTTGGCAGTTATCGCAATGCGGTAGTGTAGCGCTTTGTGCATAGAATTTTTGCACATAACGGGCTTCCTGTTATGACTCTTTGCTGCGTATGGCCGAACTTATGGCACTTGAAACAGCGGAGAGCATCAGGCACGTATAGTAGCACACGAAGGTTATAGAACCCACAGGATATCCTTTTCGGGAGAGATGGAAGATCAAATATCAGAATCAGAATAGAAGTAAGGATTCCCATCCTTGCCCCTTCCTCTTGATTCTGTCAACTTCGTCTCGCCCTGGCTCTTCAAGAACGATACTAATTCGTCCTCACTACTGCAAAATCGTCATGGTTGACAAATCTCTTGCTGAGGTAAAGACCTCAGTGTGTATTGGTCACGTCCACATGGAGACCGACAATGTGCTTAGTTTTCCTAATCTTTTCAATTTTTTCTTTGTGTGTGTTCAAAAAGAATGGTACCATTCCTTTGTCACACTACAGCTGGTATTTTCCCATATGTTATCTCAATAGCATGCACTAAACGAATAGCACTATGGTTTTTGAACGATTTTTCATTCCCGACGCAAGCCATGAGGAGGAAATGATGCTGCTTTGGTCTGTCTTCGTCTTTTAGAAAGAAGCTATTCGGATCGATCCTACATTCCTTAGATCCCTTCTTGCACAACAGTGCAGGGTGGATGATGATTAATATCTATTCGATGGACAAAAATTCATCTCCGTGTTCTCAACCCAGCTGGGGTGCCAGAGCTGACACGGAGATGTAGTGGAGAGGATGCCACAGCGCTGCTCCGTTGTGGATCGCCCCGCTCACCCTGGAGTTCAGTCAGAGACCTTGTCCGAGCCGATTGATTGTAAGTGGGTTAGTTTCCGATTGTCCGTCCAATGTGCAGAGACCTCCCCTCAATCACCAGGGCTCACCGGTGTTCGTAGCGAACGTGGCTAAATGAGGTCTGCCAACAAACATCCAGCTTCAAGGCGACCGTCAAAAACTCATGCACAGATCGCTCAACTCCCAGGTCACCCTTTCCCTTGGACACAGGTTGCCATGCACAGCAAACATGGGTGGGCATTCAGCAAACAGAGAAGACCAGTGAAGAAAAAAGGGGTGATAAAAGAATGTAGGTGACATATGAAATGAAAAGCAAGAGGAAGAAAGATGGAGAAAGGAACACATGAGAATCTTCTATGCATGACCCTGTCAGGATGTGGACTGACACACCTTGACAAGTAGGCATACAAATTTAATAACTATTTCACGTAATTCCATTAATAACTTATTATACAAATATAAAAAATTACAAAGTAGGGAATATAAAATAAAAATGTCTTTTGTACTTTTCTGTGAAATATATAACGAGTCTCAGTAGGCGGTTTCCATGGGAGAACAATTTCTGCTCTAATGAGGTAATGATCTGTCCTGCATTCTGTGCCCCTATATTCTCTGTCATCTTCAAATTTTAGCACTGTACTTTGCTAATCACATAGTCCATAACTGACTGTAGATGAAGAGAAGGTTGAATCCAGGTAAATTTATAGATATTTTTATATCCATAAATCTATTTTTATATCTACAGAATCCATTCTGAATTTTCAGGGAATATTATTGGCAGATGTCAATTATCCTTTCCAGATTATTATTTACATGATTTTCTCCATAAGATCCTACCGTTGCGTCACTTAATTATGAACCAATCCTAGCATTACAATCCCCCAGCAAGACTATTTCAATTCGGCTACTGATGACCAAAATTTGGCCCAACAGTGAATCATGCTCATCCTTAACGGTAATGGTTTCATCATTGGATGGAGCATATACATCAATGAATACAACCTTTCAGAACAAGCTGCTCTTCAAAAATTCTTTCGTTTATAGCTTCCCAATCTTTGATATGTCTTACCAATTTACTTTTCAACAAAATGGAAAACCTTGCTTTAGCTCTTTTAGTTACATCTATTCCGCTATACAAATGTGCAAAACCATCTAAATCTTCAATACCTTTTCCTTTCTTGTTTGTTTCAGTAAGAGCAACAATATTCGAACGAAATGTTTTTTCCAAAAGCAGGGTTGCTGGCCCATGTCCCAATCCCAACTTGGAGGGCCAGGATTTACTTTCAGTGTTTTATCCCCTGAGGGGATTGCCACCTCTATGGCTACACACACCACCCCCTCCCCAGACCACTCTTATGAAGTTTTTGTAATTCCCAAGGTGAGTGACCCAACCCAAAACCACTGTCCCCATATCTGCCCTCTAATTTCGAGACAGTTGGTGGGGAGGGAATATACACTCTCCTAAAAAGAAATAAGATGAAACCGAGAAGGATAGCAAGACAGATTAGAAAGTTGAGTAAGAGTAGAAGAAAATGTGAAGATTAGAAAAGGAATGACTACCTAGCACTCAGAACCTAATAGCGTCAATGTTGAATACTCAAGGGGTCAAGAAAGCCCAAATAGTAAATAGAATAGAAGTGTGACAAAATTAAGTGGAAGCAGGTGGGTTTAGTGGTGGTGTAAGTGGAAGCAAATTCAGAAATGTAACAAAAAATCAGTGCCACATCACACTAAATGAATAGCCCCCCTCCCCATATGTAATGCAGCGTAACACACTGGCTGAAACCCTCTCCTTAGCATTAAGTAATTGTAATAATCAATAACAAACTTACATTACATTACAATTGCATTAACAATTGTAATAATCATCCGGAAGCAATTCGAAAAGGGGGTACAAAAATGTAGAAGAAGTACTTAAGAGGCAAAAAGATACATACTCGAAAGAACAACTGAACATAGGCAACAGGTGAAAATAAATTTCTAAATTGCTTTCTAAATGAATTGGAATTTTGGCAAAGCAGGTGAACCAGGTGCATTCAGAAGGTTTTGCGTAGAAACGCATAGGAAGCATGGTAATGTGGAAATGGCGAGCCCAGCTCACGGAACGGTACGGTCAAAAGGTGGATGGAGTGAATTCACAGGCTGACGGCAACATCATCATATTCAGGAAGTAGTAAAAAAAATTTGGTAAATACCCTGAAATAATGTGGATGGCCATCACCATTATAACAAGCACAGTATGAATGAGAATGGTGAAATTATTTTTTTTATCAAGTGTGAATGTGAAGTTAGATTTTTTGTTATTGTTTTAAAGGGTATATCTTGTTTTGTGTTATGATTTTTATCAGCAGTGTCACACAGGAAAGCGGTGACAGCGCAAATTAACACCGCCAAATAAATAAATGGTACCATTGGTCACAGTGCTGAATATACTTGAAAGATGTTTATGTATTATTTTTTAATGTAGATGAAGGAAGGTATATTCCCCTCCCATCACCAATAAAATTATGATAAATATTATTTCTCTATCCTGCACAGGAAGGACTTCAGTCCCATGACCCTAATACAAACTTCCAGGGGCAATGCCACTTGTGCCAAAAATATTAGTATTAAAATCTACATAAACAGAGATTTTGTATATCAGGTAAAATAATTAATGGATGTAAAAACAATTATAATAAAGATAGAGGCATTACGGAACAGTCACAGCATTGAGGAATACTATATATTAAAACGTTAAATGTGATGTTATAGCAAATAGAAATTGTGTTCTACAATTTTATATAATTTACCTCAACAGGCCTAGTTATATCACAGTTTAACTTGCTGATAGCACAGATTTCAAATTTGAAATTCTCTTGAATATCCCACGATGAAATGTGTTTTCCTTTTTTTCTCAAAGTCAGAGTGGAAAACGAAGGTGGTCGATTAGTTCTCATTTCCAAATCTTCAGGATTCTCATAAACATTATCAACATCCACTAATAGGAAAGAAACACTAGTAATAATTATTTTAACATTTTTTAATTTATTACTTATACAACAACACCCAACTTACTTACCTAGAACACTATTCACAGAAACAGTAACAAGTGTTGGAATTTCATCTGTTGCCAAAGCTTCTTGAATGTACAAAAACTGCACTAAAGGGTAGTCGCCAACTAAATATTCTTCTTGACCACATACTTTTAAAACATAATCAGAGGGATGTTCACCACGAAGGTTTAAAGCAATTGCTAATTTATTGAGGATTGCCAGTAAAAGGCGATGTGGTGTCATTGTACAAGAAATGTTGAACTTGAATGTAGTCTAACATGTAAAATACAAAAGTTGCATCTTAATATTAACATGTCATTCAATAATTCATATCTAAATAATGCATTATATTTTGTTCATACATTAAAAAATTATACAAATAAACTAAAAACAAAAGAATATATAATTATATGAGTAATAATTTAACAAACATTATATATAAGATCTGTTAGAAAAGATATCAGACTTCTTTTATTTTTTTCCTTGGAAAACCTGATGGATCAAACATGCTTGCATTAGCAGACCTTGTGTGCATGCGTGAATATTTTCCTGCCTGCCAATAGTTTCTGTTGCTGGCAAACAGCATTTGAATGAGGTTGTGTGTAATGCTTGTCGGTTTTTCATTGCACGACAGACCAAAAGCAACTTCATGTTGAAGTCACCATGATGGATTCCACAAACAGTACAGTTGATTTCATGAACACCATAATCAATGGCAACAACATCACTGGGTGTGCAGGTACAACCCAGAAAACAAATCCTTGTCAATCACAGAGGAATACTTTCACATCACCAAGACCAAAGAAGGCCCACCAAGTGTGCAACAACATCAAAGTGATGCTGACTACATTCTTTGACTCCCGTGGTGTGGTACATCATGAGAACACACCACAGGGACAAACAATCACCATAGGAATGTCTACCATTGCCTAAGTGATGCCATGTGGTGCAAAAGACCAGAGTTCTGGTCAACAGGAAATTGGCACCTTCATCACATTCCTCGCACTTAATTCATTCTTTTTTGGCAACCCCCCCCCCACACACACACACACACACACCTGATTCCAGACAAGAGAGGACATTATGGCTGCAACAACAGCCAAGCAAGCTACTCCAAAAGAAGCTTTCTTTGAATGCTTCCCACACAGGGGCACCACTGGGAGAAGTGTGTGGAGTCCCAAGGAGTCTATTTTGATTAGGTTTGCAAAGCTCCAGGTATGCTAGTTCTTTTCTCTGGCCAAACGTCATATACTTTTCTAACAGACCTCGTATTTCCACGATATACCATTAAAAATTTATTTCAATCAATTAAAGTTTAATCACCTCTGTGTTTTCAAACTTTGTGATCAACACAAAATTTCCATCTCTCAACCGACTACTTATACTGTGAGACAATTGAGAAGTTGGTGCTAACCGTGGTGGATACTGATATTGAACTTTCTCAATCCATGTTTTATTTTGGCGACTCTGCGCAATTTCATCTGCCAAAACTTTCATTTTCCATCGGAAATCATTTACCTCAGAATTTTTTAGAGTGTCAAACTCATGAAGACCTGAAAGTACACGTTTTATAATGATTATTTTTTTCACATAATTTAAAACTCTTTGAGATCATGTCAAACTATTCTTTGGAAATATTTTAAATAATTTACACATAATAAAAACTCCTTGACATAAAAATATGATACATATCTATCATCTTTATATTGTTTTATGTAAATAAGATACAGATGAACATGGCAAAATTGGAAGACCATAGAATATTTGACGGAAATATGTAACTACTGCTAAGCGTAATATTAAATAACATTTCCAAATGCCATTAAACAATACCTTTCCCAATCAAGTGACTGATCTGGATGTTGAGAGATTTCTCTGCTTTATTCCCTTTTCGTTCAATGAGCCGTAAAACAGAGCAGAATGGTCGAACATCACACAATCTTTTGTTCTCGTCTTCCAACTCCTCATTTTCTGCCATAGAATTAATACAGGCAAAAACATATGAGGAGAAATCTCTGAGGGTGCCATGGAGAGGATATTTGCTGGCCTCCTCCCACAAGTCCTGAAAGCACAACACCCAAAGGTTTATACCAATTGGTTCTCTTTATGTATTTCATATTTTAAACAAAAACCATGCAAGTAAATCAATAAACTAGATAGATGTCAACAATAACAATTGATCAGAACTTCCAACAAAAGGGCATTCAAATAACACACATTGTTATTTCATACTATGCAAGGGGTAAACAAATTGAAAAAAGAATTAAAACACTTGGAAAGAAACATTTTTTAACATTACTCTAAAACAATGTTACACTAGTCACAGAGTTGTTAAAATAACAAATGTCATAAATAATAGAGACAAACATCTTCTGCAGATTTAAAACTCCACAGCTGGGTAAGAAAAGTAATATAAAATACATTAAAAAATAAATGAAAACAAAAAACTTTTTCAAATAAATGCTGCAGTGGGGAAGATCTACAAATGTATACCTCCTTGATTTCCTGTAATGTGGCATTGCGGTTAACTTCGAGTGGAATAAAGACTCCATTTGGCATGAGACAACTGAGCTCAACAACAGGATCTGTGGTATTTACAAGCCAAAAATCATAGGTGTATGTGCTGGGGATGTGGACCATTTCGGCCAGTTACACAACTCTTCCAATACAGAGATGTAAAAGTTCTGTTTAAATTCACATTTTGAGCAAATAATCTGAAATGTAAAAAAGTGACACATGTTTAAGAGTATATTGTGAATGAAATGCAGATTACATAGTACATTTAAATTTGACACAGAAATTTTAAAAATTTCCAAATATACAATAACTACAACTGTCATTTTGACAGTAGAACATACACAAATAACTTTTGAGAATTACTGATAATAAAGTGACCAATATAAATTACAAATAAAGTGAATAGTAATTATTGTAACTTAAAGACAGTTTGGTCAGTAACTGCTTGTTGCTTCTAATTCATATTACACCTAGTCCTATGTCAAGTTAGCAGGAATGCAGTTATTACCAACATATCAATTGTTATCAGGCAAATGCAAATTGTAGTGTCAATTTATCAATAAAACCACTGTTTCTTTAAAATTAAAATTCAATGAACATTTTTCAGCAATACTTTTAAAAATAAAATCATTAGAAACTTGAATTCTTTAAAACCCGAAAAAAGCACACATCACATTTCTTAAACATGGCACATTTGGTGCAAGTTAAACACAAGCTCTCAACTGCTGCAATTAGCCAACTATCAATATAAACTTTACACTTTCCATTTCTTACCGAATGTAATCGGAAAACGGAGACGTTAATAAACACAAGAACACTCAAACATCACTAGCAGCTGATTCATAAATTCAGGTCCAACAACCAGGCTTATAATACATTCCTATCTCATTTAGTTGTTCACAGAAAGTACAAACATTATTTTTCATTAAGTGCACGCTCCATATTCTATTACTAGACAGTATTCAAACTAAGTGAGCAAAAATATATCAACGCGTCGGAAGTAAATGATATCACTTCACAACCTATAGAGCGTGTTCAAATGTTGGTAGCAAATTTATTAAGATCACAAAGATGCTTTTATGATGTACAATATCCTTGTTGATAGCGTCGTAAAGGTTCATAATTTGGTCAATAGATGGGGCTACGAATCGAAAGACGAGATTCGTACATCAACCCAGGAGGTTATAATATATATTACCACCTCCTTGAGATCTACGCATCCTTCGCGTTCGCGAAGAGTTGTTCCAGAGAGAAGAACGACCTCCTCTACTACAGTACGATTTTTGTTGTTGTGCACTAGAAGTAAATCCGCTGTTCCTTTTTCTTCCAATCGGGAGATTATATGTCGCTATAGTGACGACATTCAAGCTTCCGGTTGGATGAAACTGAGAATAGCTGATTTACGTCAAGTGTATAGTTTATTAAATCCTAATGTAGTAGAGAATGTGTTGTATGCTCTGCTGCTATAGCTCTTGGTTGCTCGTTGGTTGGAAGTTGGTAGAACTTGGATTTTATTTTTGAAGGATGCTGGACATGCTGGAGTGTTTGAATTCTAACCCAACTTTTTGTCAAATGAAAGAGTAGTTGGATCATACAAAATTTATGCAATATCACTCAGCATTAGGGTTGTGTTTCTATTTTAAAAAAAGATTAAACCTTTTACCGTTTAAATAACTTCCTTCTTATGAACGATGAACTCACGAGTGTTAGTTTGTTACAATTTATGTAAGTACTTGAATTGTAGGTTATTCACTTTATTATTACTCATACATATTAAAAATATAACATTCTCTTCTTTTTAGATCAACAGAGAAAGTTTCAAACTTCTGCCCTGTACTGTATAAACAGACAATGGCGTGAAGGGTAAGTTTTGATAATTCCTCCGGTGTTCATGGTTCTTAAACGTTTTGTTTCCACAAGTAAGTAGTAATAATTTGTTTTTCTGATAGGAGAGGCCTGCCTATTAACCCAACTTCCTTTGGTCCTTTAACAAATAAACCAGATTTTGCATATGATGATGGAAGACCAGTTCCTTTAGGTTCAAATGCGAGGAAAAGAGTGGTGAAACAACGTACATATGCTGTAAGTATATTACCATTCTTCTAGTACAAACATTAATCACTATTTCTAAAAAATAACATTTCATTTCAGTAGCCATTATTATTTGGCAAGAGGCTGGTGTAAAGTTATTGAATAAACTGATTGACCTTTATTTTCATATTCATTCAATATTTATAATTAATATATTTAATTAATTTAATATAATTTATAATATTTCATATTCAGTATGCCAGTAAACCCCTTCAAATATTTCATTCTTTATTAATTAATTATTTGTTATTTCAGGCGAGAATTGTCCAACTGCTCAATGAAGTAAATTTTGCGGAGGAAAGGCATAGAAAGTTAAAAGAAGAGGAAGAACAACTCCGGAACAAAATTTTGGAAAACAAATTAACTCCTAAAGGGAAAAAAGAACTTGATTGATTTTTAATTTTGATGCTCGAATTGTAATTGGTAGTATGGGAATATGTAGTAATTAAATCAGAATGTAATTTATACAAAATATTTAGTCTTATTTCTTACACATTTTGTATTATAAAGCGTGGGCATGCCATGAATACTTTTTCTGAGAGGGTTATATGAAATTTGAAAATCCCTCGTGTCTACAAACAACAAACTATTTCCTCTGAAAACCATCAGTCCAGGAAATTTCACTATATGGGGAGACCACCCCATGATACACATGTTTTTTCTCAATGAATTGCCATAAATAGATTATGAATAAATTCCTGGCTAATTTTTCTTTCTTTCATGGATATAGTGCCAGTATCAACTATGCATGTATTGTGGAAGACATCTCAAAGCAAGGGTATTCAGTGGAGCTACATCAGCAAATACTTACTTGTATTATTTGAAATGCTTTTGTGATATAATATTGCAACATCTACCAGGAAGACACTTTATCCTCCTCTTGAAAACTGTCAGTGAAACATTACCTAAAAGTATAAAGTAAAATTAAAAATGTAATATTTGAACATTCAAATTTAATGAAACTAGCACTTCCGCAATAGAATTCAAGTTTTGTGCTTTATACTTTCAAAAATTTTCTAGGGTTCTAAGCCTTGCAAAAGCTTCAATTCACTAGGTTATTGCTGAACTAAGTCACTTCTATGAACAGCTAGTCATCCTGGATAGCAGAGGTTGCTAAGGGTGAAGAGCTGTGGCTGCCTTGTGCCTGAAGGGTTGTGGATGTTTGTGTGTGATCATATATCATTACCTTCAATGTGAGAGTAATCATTAAATTACCTTATTAGTTGAAAAGTGACCTCAAGTAAATTTTTTAAAAAATTGTTACTTAGTTAGACCATGAAATCGTGTTGCTATCTTTCCATTCCTCCTGATACCTCAAAAATCGTATAAACTTCTCGATTTGATGTGTACTTGAAAAAGTATCAGGATCTTATACTTAACAGGTACTTATCAGGATCTTAGCTGGTACCTGGCAAGTTGCTGTTGCAGAAGAAATAATTGTGGAAATATCGTTTGAAATTTGAAAGTTATTGTTCTTATTTAAAAGTTAACCAATTCCTCTCACTTTCTCTCTCATTCGCCCACTCCTGTCCTCTGCCTCGAACCACGTCACACGGAGACACTCAGCAACAATGAAGTTCGTGTGCATTGAGAATTGCATTTGAATGAAGCGCGATCTTGTGCTGCAGCGCCATCTGCCGGAGTTGCAATGATTGTACTGTGCACATATCCTTCCCATAAGTACAAGCAATAAGTTGACAAAGTTAAATCCCTTATCGGATGAACGGTACGGCAGCGCGTTAAGCGCGAACCAACAAACATTGATTTATATTATATATGTAGAATAAATAAGTTTCTACCCGCGTTGTTTACAGAATATCGACTAATAGTATTCGCGGTTAATCAATCGGGAGCTTTGTTACTATATTTTTTATATTAAAGCCCCGATTGGATAACCGCGGCCCAGCTGATCCAACGTCAACTCGCACGGTTTTAATCGGAGGATAGCCACTGTGCAAGATTTTTTAAATAGTGGAATAGCGTCACCACCGATTCCCGGTGGTTACAAGAATAGTTGTCTTGCGAACGAATATTCAGTTCTTCTAGAGACAGACACGCTGCGGGTAGGAAACAAATAATACAGCGAATGTTTGGCGCTCGGCAAATCGCCTAGCCAAAAGCTATAAATGTTCAAGCACGGTGTAAGATATATCTTATACCGCGCTTATAGTGTAAGATACGCATCTTACGATGGAAGATATTTGTTATACCGTGGTTCAAGTTGTGGTGTAGTTTTGATATATGGTTCCTTTGAGTCACTGAACACTAGTATTGCCAAAACGAATTGTGCCTGGAAACGTCTTTCAGAGAGAAAAGAAAACTTTTTTAAAATACGGCTTTCTTTAGTCTTTTCTAACTCGACGAACACCCGTTTTCCTTCAAAGATTACCCTACAAGAAATGAAGATTGAATTAGTTATGACTGCAAGTTTGTTTTACTTTCTGCAATCAACATATACTCCGAGATCATCCCGAAAATTGGTGGTTCAAGCTTTTTTTTTTAAATTTCTCGGTTTCTTAATGGTACAATCGAAATATTACTTTAATAAGGGTACAACCTAGTCCTACAAGGAAATTTTCGTTGAAAAATATGGAACCGTTTTTAAGTAAACGCATAATTGCAAATTATAAATGCAAAATTTGAAGCTCTTTTTCACAGTAAACTTTTGTTTTCGAAAAACTTTATTGGATGTTATTTGATGTACTTCTCACAAATGTAATTGTGTGTTACAAATCGCCGGAAATGTGCACATTAAAGGAGTGAGATATGTTTCAAAAAATTACTTTTGTGTAATTAAAAAAAAAAATAATACAGTAAAATGACTTTTATGTTATCTTCAACCGCGCAATTTGCACTATCATTACGAGAAGTTTGAAATAAATTTGGAACCGATTTTTAGAAAAAGGGATTTGAGAATGTCTGGAAATGCGGAATTTTAGCTCATTTTCAGAGGAAACTTTTTTTTTTTTTCGAGAAACAGACTTTTTGGGGGGTGACAAACACTTTATCGGTATCAAGGACCCACAATTTCTGAAATCTGGCTACATAACTTGTTATAGGAAGTAATTTATTAACTTTTTCTGTATCAGGGCCTCACAACCGCTACCGCTTACGCAGTAGAAAGTAGAAAGTTATGTAATTCGCGAAAAAACAGCCAATTTTCGGCAGCAAAATCATTATTGCCGTGCTCTGATAACGAAACAATTGTAGAATAGAATGGCACAGACTTTCACGTGTTGTTTTCTATTTTCTTTGCTCTCGGCAAGCTAATCGGGCTTGACACGTAGGAATTGATTGCGAAATTCATCCCAGTCAGTGGGTTGTGGGACTGTCAGACGCCGTGGATGCTACCAACTGCGAAGGTAATTGGCATGGGGTGAGAAAGGGAGTAGTGGCTCAAATATTCCCCTATTTCTGGTCGGAGGCGAGGGTCAGTGGGGAACATGTAGGTGTGGAGGGCGGTGTGAGTGTCACAGTGTTGTGTGACAGCAGGAAACTTGTAAGTTCCGGTTGCTGTGTGTGGTGTCACAGCTGCATTCCCCGCACTTAACATTCGGGTCGCTCACTGACCGTGCGAAGTGCTGGGGAGAACACAATGTCGAAATAGTCGTCTACGAGAGGACGATTCGGTGCTAGGTATGTTACACCAGTGCAACTGCGCCTTCCGTCGTGTTTACCAGAATCGCTGTCGCTTCAAGCCTCGCGAGGCGAGGTAAAGCTGCCGGGCAATGAGGTGTTGTCGAGCGACGTACAGCAACCGTTACACCGCCTCCGCGGTGATGAGCATCGTGATTGGTTGTGTCATGAGCTCCAGGTCGTCGACACTTATGAGTTTTGCTACCTGTATTAAGAGAACATCGGTGTGCTCTCTATTACATAATAACTCGATAATGGGTCGATCTCCTGGGTCCGTGTGACCGCAACGGCCGTTGACGCTTCAGGCAGCTACCGCGAGAGGGTGGGTTCTGGTGTGTCCCTGTGTTCGGCGATCAGCCATTGCGGGCTGTCACTTGAGCGCAGAGAGTTTGTGCAAGTGTAGTGATTGTTTGTGACCTGCTGTTTCACCTCAGAGACCTCCTTTCGGGTTGAGCCATCTCCGACTTAGCAGCAGGCGTTTTATGTGGAGGTGCCTTTAGTGTGGCGGCGACAGGGCAAGTGGCTCTCTCTTGAATGCCTTTTCGGTCTTTAAGAGTTCGTCGCCGCCTTTGCTGCGCGCGCTGCTTGTGCAGTGTGCTGTTGTGATGGGTGTGCCGCTTTCGCAAAGGTAGTGCTCTCGTCTACTTTGCGTGCGGACAGTGGACATTACGTAACTTACCATATACTACGTTTATTACTCCGTTTATATGTACGTATACGGGAAAGTAGAAATGGATGTTGGTAAATATAAAAGCGGTAAACTCCAAGACTGTGTGATCGATCTTCATGAAAGTTAGTACATCTACGTGTTTTTTTCACCGGGAAGGTTTATGTGCTGTTAATTTTGTTGTAACTCTGCACATGGCACTGCAAAACAAAAATGCGTTTCATTGTAATTCAGTTTCCTTTCAAACTACGCTCGACCTGCGGGCTTCATTGTTGCAGACCGTTGCCACGTGACGCAGTACGAAGCCCAGCAGACGCGCGCGTCAGAGAGAGAGAGAGCGAGAGGAGAGAGGTACAGAGAGATGAAGAGAGACAGGGAGATGCAGAGAGTGACGGCACTCGTAAGTGAGACAGAGACAGAGAGAGACCAGACAGCTTCGCAATTCCTTCCCTGAAAATAATTGAAATCTAAAATAATTTTTCAATTGAAGTATATTTTTTCTTCTTCTGTTACATTGTTTTTATGACATGCAAGATTACACAATCTACATGAAATTTAGTAATTGAGGACGGGAATTCTCAAAGGTATTTTGTGCCACAATATAACTGTTTAGTTAGAAACAATATTTGTATTTACTAAGTATGTTCTTTGAATTCTATACATGGAACTTTGTGAAATTAAACTATTTGTCTTTGGCTACTTATCAAATGAAGCATGTAATAATATTGAGCTAAACTACATTTGCATCAATATTTAAATGTGATGTTAGGAAAAGTGACAAATTCATATAAGGATTTCCATTACATATTCATTTTCCTCAAAGGATTTCCTTACAAATTCATCAAAAGTTTCTACAAGTTCATATAAGGTGTTATGTTAGTGGCATTACAAACACATTTTTCAAACAATAATAAACCAAATAATAATTCAAATAATAACTAAAACAGGCATTAAACTTAAACAGTATGAAACATCAACACTTTTTACTACTATTTCCAGGAGTGTTCAATGTACGATGGCTTTGCTTCTTCAAAAAGTTGGTCCAACATTGACAGCAGATTTTTTTTGCAGTAGTAATACTGTACTGGCATTTTGCAACTGGCTTTCTGTATACCTCTCACCGAAAAATGGTTTGCATCCAAGTGGACAACTTTAAACTTATTTTTGTTTTTTGCTGTTAGGTACTAAATAATAATGTGTTTCAAGATACTATGACACCTGGAGTTAATATCTGAATAATTTATCAATGTAAGTTTGATCTTGAAAAGAATAGACTGGAACAGGGTGCTTTTGAGAGAAAATTGACTTTGCTTGAAGTACCTCTCTTTTGTACTTAGTGGCATTTAAGAACATCTTTGAGAATTCCAGTCCTCAATTACTATTTAAACTTCCATGAAGTTGAATTTTAATCCTTCATTTTTGTGAGCTGTGTAATTTAAATACTGATACTATACCAAAAACTTGTTAATGTATTTTTAAACATTATATTCTCAATAATTAAGTAAATATTTAACATTTTGTATACTGTTATAATTCTGTTAGTGTTTTCTAAAAGTACAAATATGTTTTTTACATTGTAAATATACTTGGAAGTAAGATCTTCATCTTGATAGTAATTTCTCTAAATGCAAAAATAATTCAGTAATAAAAGTCAATTATCAGTTATCAATTATCAAATATCCAGGTTAAAGTAACAATTATCAGTAGAGGAAGTATTTGTAGTAATTACCCAAACTAGGATTTATAAGGAATAACATGAACCCATGTGTGTTCATACATATTGACTACATGTGTTAAAAAATTGGGACAACAATTGAAGATTAAAAAGTGAAAATATGTATTAATAAAGTGTTTTAAGTTGCATAAGTAGGATGATCAATGAGTTTAATTGCTACAGAACAAAATTTAATCTCTTAGAAATGTACACTGAACATTATTAATTTGCTGAGAGAAAGTACTAGAAAAGACTAGTCTATATTATGAACATTTTTAGTGCCAATGCATGTATACATTTGGGTTTGTGTCATTCCTTATAATCCTAGCTTTGGTCATTTCATACAAATCTTATCCCTGCTGTTATTTTTCACATAAATCTGGATTTTTTCTGAGTAATCTGATAATTGGCTCTCATTACTGAATTATTTTGTCTTGAGTTGCACTCTCCTCAGGATAATGTGCTTAACATATAAGGAACCAACTCAGCAATAGATCAAGAATGACAGACACATGAGAAACTTCAATCGGGTTAGGGATCCTATGTTCAAGTGTATTTACAATTTGTTGTTTTAAAACAATTTAATATAATCCCAATTGCATAACAAATATTAAATGTGTACTACATTGTTTGACTACATAGTTTCAAAAATACATAAATAAAGTTTTTAATAAAGCATCAATATTGAAATTTGTAGCTCACAAAATTGAAAAAAAGTAGCTCACAAAAATCAAGGATTAAAATTGAATTTCATGAAACAATAAATATGAAATTTCTTTTAGATTGTGTAATATTGTACATTACAAAAAACAATGGTACAAAAGAAAAAAAATACCATGTTTAAATATAAGCAACGAATTTAGATTTTTATTATTTGTAGGGAAGAAATTACAAAGTTTTGTTTAAAGTGGTAGGTGCTTCATCAATAGTAGTAAGTTAAAGATCTGAGAAAGAAATTACATCAAACTTTCAAGACAAATTCAGAGAAAAATGCAAAGATAATAATACGAAATAAATTATTTTGACTTTTCTATTAGGTTTTGATTGTTTTAATTTCTCTATTATAAAATAAAAGTATGTAACTCACACATACAACAAATAATAAAGAAAAAAACAGCATTTTAAAGTATAAATATTACTGCATCAATATTATTCTGTAATTTTTTAAAAACTTTTTACTGAAAATAATGTTTGTATTTTTTTAATAACCGTAATGCAGAACTCGCAGTTTCCCTTCTAATATATAGTTTAACGGTTTGCCGTTAACGCTGCCATCGGAGTCGATGGCTGTGGCTAACAGAGTGCTCTGTGCTGAGAAAAGATGCATTCTGGTTGGCCGTGGCGTGGACTACCGTGGTCGGCGTGTGATGCAGGTGTGATGAAAGCTGGATGAAAGGTTGAAGTTTGACAGAAGAGAACCTAGGAAAGGAGGAAAACATTCGAGTTTCGAGGGCATTTTGATTTTCGGTATAATTTTACATTCGAATGTCGAAAATACCGGGGTACGATACGCACGACGACGGGCCTGGATTTGTGGGCATACGTTTCTGTCAAGAATGGTGAATTTTCACTGTATAACATTTATTATATTTGAGGTGTTCTTGATTTAACTAATGCCAATTATATATTTTCAGCAATAACATGTTATACCCCAAAGAAGATAAAGAAACTAAAGTATTACTTTACGCCGTAAGTTGCAGTATTTGACGTTTTTTTACTAACCTTCAATATTAGAAGAATTTGTTGTATTGACAAGAATTAATTTCTGTTATAGTGTCGGAATTGTGATTATAAACAAGTTGCTGATAGTAATTGCATCTATGTCAACAAAATTATGCACGAAATCGAGTGAGTTTGATTAACTTGATTAAGTAGTCAGTTTCAATGAAGGGTTACTGTATATTTGTTCATAATTTGATTTTTTTTGCAGTGAATTGACCCATATAGTATCAGATGTCATATCTGATCCTACTTTACCTCGAACGGAAGAGCATCCTTGTCCAAAATGCAACCATAGAGAAGCCGTGTTCTTTCAGGCTCAAACTCGACGTGCTGAGGTATGTGTACTTAGGGAAAATATATTGAAATAACAGCTTGACACATGTCTGACCATAATGATGTTGTTCTTAATCTTGCAGGAGGAAATGAGATTGTATTATGTGTGCACAAACACACATTGCTCTCATAGATGGACTGAGTGAATACGTGTATTCGTTTCTACAAATGCTTGTGTATGTTTTGTTAGAAGAATTGAAGTAAAGAAAGAGTATGTTTGTGGCAAAACAGTTGAAACATTAATTATGAAGTATTTGCAGAATACTAAGAAAGTATATGAAATAAAGAGATACAAAGTATTGTGAAGAAACCTGAAATTACACATACATTCATAGATAACATTCAGGGTAGATGGAGCAAAGCAATGTAAAATTTTTAAAAAAATCAGTTCCATTACATAAAGAATGTTTGCTGTAAGTTTAGATTATTACATTCTCAATTTGTCATCAATAAAAAATAAATTTTATATTTGTCAACCTTTGTGCTTTATTCTGTTGAAATTACTATGTAGGCATTCCAAGCACGGATCCACAGTGAGCAAAAGGGGAAAAGTTTCTCCTCCCAAAGGTTTTCAGTGACTACTATTAATTTTCACATTTCTTGAAACTTTCAAGCAAAATACTTTCATATGAATATTTAAACAAATAAAATTGTATCATAACATGAGCTGAATTAAGATTGTCATTCTACATAATCAGTAATGACACACAGACCAAAACATTTTTAATAAAAAAAATGTCCCCTCTCAAAATTTTTCTCTGGATCTGACCCTGGGTATTCTGATCTTCATGACCCCAGAATTGAGGTAGCATTGCCAGGACATTGAAACTGAGTTTCATAGACTGTTACTTCAGGCATACTTGTCTACCAGAATGAAAGAAAGTGACAGCTCTGTACTGTATACATTTGTCATTGAAAACTCCAATATATCAATAGTTTCATTTTGCAAAGGCAACCCATGGATCTGGCTTCTAAATAAGCATTTCTACAGTGCCATACCTGATCTTTGATATTCTAGCAGAAAGGTTAAGATGTAAGATAACTGTGAGATTGTTACAAGAAAAGCCTATTAGCCGTTTTCTTGTGAATGTGAAGAATAGATTTTCACTTGCATGCCACTCATTTGAGGCAGGTTAAATTTTTTTGTCCAACTTGTTTCTTGTAGAAAGTGCCCATAATATTTTTAAATGTAGGCTCAAAAGTTAATCTGAAGGCCTTAGAAACTCTTACAAAAGTGCAAGTATCTTACACTTTTCTCGGAAATGCAACATGAAAGTTATATTTCTCTTCAGTAATTATTTTAGAATTTGCAATGTTTGCTACTCCAATGTTGGCATTTTCTTTATTACGTAACTTTGTAATTGTGGGTGTGCTGGCCTTTCAACAGTTGGAAGACTGGGCAACACTTTGGCTTGTAAAAATGTCTGTTTGGGTACATTGTGACATTGTAATTACAAAATTACGTTATAATGCTGGAACTTGAACAACAAAAAATACAAATAATTATGGTATGACTGTCATGTTTATGGTATTGTGTTGTGGAAAACAATGTTAAAATATTTAAGTAAAGCACATCATCATCTGGCAGTGATAATGTATATTCCAAGTCATTTTTGTAATGAAGATACTCAGAAGGTACCCCTATTTTGTTTGCCATACCTACCCACTTCATCTGTTAATGAATTTGTAATTTGCATCCACAACATCTTATAAAACTAGAAAAGAATTACAATGTGGGTGCAGTTCAGGGAGGCACAATATATAACAGAAATTGTAAAATGAATTTATTTTTTAAATGTTATTAAACATTTGTGGAAGTTTTCAGTGAATAAACTGAAGAGCAATATAAGTAAAATGAAATGGCAGAAACAGAATTATTTTAAACTAGAAAATTTATTGAAAGATAATTATTTACATTATTGCTTTTTATCATACATATATCACATTTACTTGAAAAATATTTGAATTACATGTTTGTAATTAAATCAAAATGGAAGTGGTTGGGATCAGATAGTCCCATGCCAGTATTTGGCAAAATGTTGAGGTGTTACACCCTATACAACCCTCAACCTTCCAGTGTATTACTGTTTAAGATTAAAGAAACCTTTTAAAATAAAACTATCTTACCAATTACTTTTATCACTTCTCTGATAATCTGTTTTCTTTGAAGTTCAGTTTCTACTTAAGAATTCAAAATCATTGATTGACAATGGTTTTTGAAAAACACAATCATTTCAGTAAACTTAAATCAAATTTCATGAGAAACCAGCCCACATGGGTAGTGCTGACAATCCACAGAGTATAAATTTCTTTGACCATAAGCGATTGTCACTAGAATCGAAATAGTAAGATAGTGAATTACATATTAATAAGATAAATGAGTAGGGCACGTGTCGGAAAATGTAAATTGCATCCAATAAATAGGAGTGGGGAATTGTGGTTTCAGTATACTGTGAGATAACAAACATTTATTTTTAAAACAAATATTAACACAATTATTTTAAATATCTTAAACATATATACAATTTACAAATTACTTTTCTGGTATAAAAGTAATAGCTATTTAAGATAATGCCAAAATCACAACTTCAAAGTGATACTAACTTTTGCACAAAATTAAAAACAGTTCAGAAAGTTCTAGCACTTCTTTTAGGAAGTGTGCTTTCTCTTTTTTTCACATCATCCTTATAGAATATACAAAATCTTTATTCTTAAATTTCTTTCAGTATCTTCTCATTGATGACCTACAATAAATTGTGAAAATGAGTGTTTACAACAAATAAGTCAAGTCCATTAGCAATAATAAAATGTTCAATATTATTGTTAATTTCTAGGTTTAGGAAGTTACTATTCTCCTTAGGATGCACAATTAGCTACTACGTAGCACTGAATTTTATTTTGTATTAAAAATAGAAACTGTTTGTGTGTATGTATTATAACACGTACAAAGGTGTTCCTGAGGTGAAGACATAAAACTAAAGGAATCACAATACTAACTACTGGTGCTACAGAATGGTACAGGCTTTCTCATACAAGTTAGCTTTCTAATTTCTTTGGACTGGGCTAGCTTTTCGGTCTTGCCCCATCCTCCACCCAGCTGCCATCACTGAATAAATGGCATTTTTTCAATTTTTCTCAATTATTTCACTTTCCTAATGGTAGAACTGAAGAATGACTAAGCAATATTACAGAAGAGGAAAATCTCGTCCCATATGGAAATTTTCATTGAAAAATGTGCAGACTTTTTAAAAAAATGTCATTTAAGCCTTACTGTAAATGCAAAATTTAAAGTTTTTTTTTCTTCACAGAAGTTTTTGGAAACTTCATTGGAAATCATTCAAAACATTTCTGCTCAAAATGCAATAATGTATTCAAATCACTGGAAATGTACACATTAATATATTGAACGGTAATAAAAAAATACATCTATAATTTTTGAAAAAAGAAAAGAATGCAGCTTGTATGTCATATTATGCAGTGGGTTTAGCACTATTCATACAAAAAGTATAAAGAAAGAAATATGAGCCACTTTTAATAAAATATTACAGCATTACATAACTTTCTCTATACTATATATATATTACTCCATATATATGTACGCATACGAGAAAGTACAAAATGAACTTTATAACATTGAGATATGGAAATTAAAGTAGATGAAAATTATAAATTGAAAATGTAATAATAAAACAAAATCACAGAAAATCGGTGCTAGCCAATTTGTAAAATGAGTGACAAGCTTGAAGGTCATATTCCTTTATTACTATTATTCATTCAACTATTCATTTAGTATAGACACTTGGGTAATCCTTTGAAGTGAATGAATTATCTTTTCCCATAGGCCTTAATTCGCTTCTTGTTTTTACAAGCAAATATTAACTTTAAATCCTTACCTATTTAAAGTACATTACGGGCATATTTTTTTATTAATTACATTCAAGAACCCTTTCAAACTGTTCTTCTAATAAATCATCAATCACATTTTCAATATTCTCATTCCAAATTTTGTAGACTCCCGAATAACATTCACAGGCTGAAAGCACAAATAAACAAATGTTATTATTTTCACAATCAAGTTCTCCAAGTGTTATTTAACAAAAATAAAGAAAATCTAAAAACAAAAACGAGCCATTATTAAACTAATAATACTTGAATTAAAAAAGCACACACACACATTGAAATTCATCTTATAATACAAATAATTCATGAGGTAAATGGAAGTATAAGATAGAATACTGCTCAGTTAATGAAAACTAAAATTTAATAGCAAGTCACGATTCTCTGATTATGTAATATTACTATTATTGATGTTAATACAGTATTTATGTTATTTCCCTTAGCATCTTTCTTATGCACACACATATGATATGAGACATGCAATAAGGATCCAAAGTGCCTGCTGCAAACACTTCCTACAAAACATTGCAACCAATTCCAGGAACCCCAATAATAAATACAAAAAAACATTATCATAGACTAACCATGGAAAATTTAAAAGTAAAATTTGTAATGTACTGAATTCTGTAGTTGAATCTAACAAGTTGACAAATGATCATTATGACCTTTGTTCAAAATTTAAACAAAAGAATCAAACTACTTAACCCAATCATCTCCATTCCCTTCTCCTCATTTCTCCACCATAGCCCATGTAACAGTAGTAGTTTGGCAAATTATATTACACCCTATGGTGTCTTTTGTATCCTAGCCTCCATTTCTCTCCACAGGTGTAGTTTTCATTATTCAATCCTCTTCACCATTGTGTCTTGTACTCCTTCTCCCCAAATAAATCTAGTTCTTCCTCATCTTCAATGGGTAACTGGTTGCCATTTTTGCAATAATTTCTGCCTACATTCTTCTTTCACTCATAGTACGTGTCCATACCATTTTAATTTCTTTGCACAGGACCAACTCTTGTTACACGTATATTTCTTTAACAAAGCAATGGAAGTTGCCTTCTTAGCTAACACCGCTATATGTGATCCTATTTCTTCTACTCCCTGATCCTTTTCCTTTGTTTCTGACTACACTGCAATTTTTCTCCCATCTTTTTACAGACTTCAATTCGTTTTATGTTTAGACTCTGTACATTCCAAGTCCCTATACTCATATACCGTTTCTGTCTGCCAAGTCGATTCCAGGACAATCCTCCTTCATTACTGTGATATTTAGTGTTGTATTTTTTTTTATGGGTGTAGCGAGTTGGCCCTAGGATCTAACCCTCAACATAGAGGACCAAAGATTTATTTTTGAGGTTACTTTCCAATAGACAAGCCTGCTTCCCTCTCGTCTTCAGAGCCTTGTCTGACCTTTCTCATTACAAAAATCCAGAAAATAAAGTGCGAAAGAAGTGGAAGAAATGAATACATGAGAAAAGGGGAAGAAAGGGATAATTAAAGACTCCTTAGCCCCTGCAACCTAATAGCATCAGGGTCGAAATACTGCTAGGAGCCAAGAGAGGCCTCAAAGAAAAGATACCAATAGAGTGATACAAGTAATTGGAAATAATACCACACATGCCCGTGTCCCAATGAAAGTGGCTAGTAAGTAATTAGAATCAATATGGCTCTTCCATGTCCTGAGATCCATATTTGCTCCCTCAGTTATGTGGCCAACTTCATTAAATGAACTTTAGTTCATGATTCCTGTATTTGTAGATCATAAAAAACCTTTCAATTCTACATTAACAGGCGGGCTTCAATTATTTTGTTATTATGCATTTATAATTTCTTTTCATTTTAAATACTTTAGCAATTCTTAAAATAACTTTTTAGAGTTTAATATATGTTTAGATATTCATTTAACAGACTTGTTCCATTAATAATGGACTTAAATAATGCACTATATGAAATTGGATGATAACTCAGGAAAACTAAAATGAAATTTCATTTCATATTAAACAAGAAATCCTATGTAACATTTACAAACTTTCTTCTTTTCTTTTTCATTTTATACGAGTGTTTGTAACAAAAACAAAATATACCAAATTTGCTTAACATGTTTGTGTCCTAATTGACAGTACCTAAAGATGAAAATAAAACTTGGTTGAAATATTGTGCCATACAGAAAACCATGCAATTTGTGATGTGATCTTTTTGTGTTTTATTATTTTTTCAAATACAAATATTAAATAAATCGAAAAAAAAATGAGAATGAAAATAAAACTTCCTCTGAGTTTTGGAAATATTTTTTTCTACATATTATTTGAAGAATTCTTTATTGTCAAATGTTGAGCTTTACCAATGTTGTATAAAATGAAATACTTACATACTGAACGATTCACTTTGGACGATGTTGACACAATGACAAACTGAGGATCTATTTTAAATCCACTATAAACATAATCAAGCATTTTGAAAATCACCTGTAAGCAAAGTGAACAAAATATAACTCTTGTGTATGTCAACTAATTAATAAAAACATCATTACATTACAAAAGTGTGATATGAATACAATGTTAAATTTAATAATAAAACATTTTTCTTTAGACTTGAATGATAATGTAAAACTAATACTATTTAAACATATAAGTTAGCCTGCCAAACTTTTTGAGTCTTTGTTTTAGAGAATAATTAGGATTCCCATACAAATTTTTTAAAACTAATGTTGCTACAGAATGGCTCAGACTTTCTCACACTAGTTAGTTTTCAAATTTCTTAGCCGATCCGGTGGCCAAGATCACTAAGGCAGTACTGCCATAGCAATCTCGGACCAATGGATTAAGGATTCAAGTCCCGCCTCAGGCATGGTTGTATTGTTCATCCTTTCACCCGCCATCATCATATCGTGTCATCCTCACAGTTACCATATCGATAAAAGCAAGTGGTCGCTAATGACCTAGAAGTTGATGCGATCTTACATAACAAAAAATTCTTTGGTCTGGGCTACCTTCTCAGTCTAGGCTCGAACTCTTCCCAGCTGCCATATACTGACGCCCCATTTTTTTTTCACATATTCTCTATTTTGCAACTTAAATGTGACTTAATGAATGTTACAGAAGAGTAAAAACTTGTCCTATATGACAATTTTCATTGAAAACTTGGGAACAGTTTTTGAGAAAAGCTCATTTTCACAGAAAACTTCTCAGGTTTTCAGAATCTTTATAAGACATCATTTAAATCACACGTACTAGTAAAAACAATAAAGTATGCAAATTTCAGTTACTACCACTATAAATACAAGAAATGAAGATAAATTATTAATTTTTAAGAAACAAGAAAATAGAACACAAAGGGAAGTAATTACACGGACTTTACTTTTCGAGATTATAGGGCCAAGTTGTTTACGTTTTAAAGGAGGAAAGTTTAAAAGATGACCATTGACAAGGAAATATTGGCTAGGGTGGGTAAGCTTTTTCCCTTTAAATGTTAAATGTGAATATGTGTAGATATTTTGCTTTTCAAGGGGGGTATAAATATGTTTTTTTGTTTGTTTTTATGTTATGTTGTGTGTATTATAGCTAGGGTAGGCAGCAATGATGCCCAGTAAAATTTTGAATGTCGTTAATAAATACATTGGACCAATATTAGCAGTGACAATGAGTTCTTGAAAGATTTTGGGTTTTATTAATTTTAGGAATCAGGAGGGGCATGTTATGTTTAAAACATCCTACAAGATGATAAATACCCGTTTCCTGTTGAGAAGGTGCTTTGTTTACCAAGAACAAAAATAAATTTTTTAAATAGCCAGAATTCCACCTTGTGTATAAGAAATATTGTCAAGACCATTTGTAAAGATATAAATGGATTCAGCACTTTTATAGTGATTATTATTACTATTATAAGAACATATTGAAGAAATAAGGAACAGTTTCAATGGTGGCTCAACTTTTGGTACGGGAGAGCAATAATTAAACATCAATATTATTTATTATTCTTTTATCAACACTTATTACGAGAGTGGAAAGGGTATCTGTTTCAGTGGCACACCCAACATGGGAGATATTAGTATTATTCTGAGGATTAATAACAACACTAGAGTGGACAGCTAAAGGGACCCGCTTCAATATGTATAAGAAAGTGAAATGATGCAGGTTTCAGGTTTGAATCGAATTGAATTCATGCCTTATTTTACGTGGCGAAACTCAGGCCATGAGGCCTGCTCTTCCGTCTGACCACGCAAATTTCGCTACGCTCCAATCACCAACTAGCAGAGAAAGGAGGTATTTCTTGGGCAAGAAACAGGCAATTTTAAATTTAGCTCAGAGGCGTCATTTAGGCTTGAGGATCTTTTACATGCAAGTAAATCTACTAACATGGGACAGTCGACTTCCCTTCTGAAGGAAGGCGTACGAAAGATTTTTTCGCCCTTAAAAATCCCCGGCTTCGATCGGGTTTGAATCCGCCAAGTTGGGTACAACAGTTCGATTCACTATCTGTTACACTGTCACCGCACGCATCCCAGGTTTATCTCATTTAAAAATCTGGGTCATTACAAAAGTAAAGAAAGAATAAAGTAAAATAAAATTCATATTTGAAAACCTCTTGCTGGAAAATATCTCACAACCAGAGACATTTACCTTTCCAACTGTAAATTAGCAAAGATGAAGTGAGGTTCTTTGAGCTCTCCACTGATCTGATTTGTTGTAAATGGTGGAAAAACATTTTAACTACTGTCTGGCATTTAGTTTGAGAATAAGTTTCTTTCCTTTTGAAACTCCCATGTTTAACACATAATCCATAGATATTTAAAAATTGCATTACATTTCTTAAACTGGTGACCTTTAAACCAGCCGCCATGTTTTTGGGAGAGGGATGACACGTGCACCTGTCATGATGTCTCAAAAATACAAAATTATATCACAGAAATAAATAGAAAATTCATGATTTCTTTTAGAGCTTTTTTGTTAACGTACAGTGTTGTGCTCAATGTGAGGTTCAATGGCCACTTTAGTAATATGTGTACAGAAACATACTGCTACGAACTGTAAATACAGTAGCCTACAGTAATGTCTGTTTAAGCTTTTTCCCTACAAAGGAAGTTCTTCTAAGGTAGGTTTTCTTATTTACACATAACATATTTACGCAAAGTAGGCTATTTACTAAGTATCTTATTTTTAAAAATGATTTCAACAGTCTATTTGAATGCTATTAAGGGAATAACAGCTAACTGGCCAAATTGTTATCTGGTCTGAGAAGTTAGGAGTGCACTGGATTTTCTTTCTTGCCTATCCAAGTATTATAAGCTACTTTCAAAATTATATTCAACATACTAATTTATCATTGTTGAAATTAGTGGAGTACAGCAAACTGTCAACACAACCAGTTCTAATTACAATGGTAACAAGGAGACTATAATTGTTGTACAAGGCAGAATGAACTGGCTGGTTTCCAACAAAAATTAAATCTCAGATACTTGAAGACATCTGAACCTAGAAGACCGCAGAGCATGTATATACATCTTGTGGAACAATTTGGAAAAACACTAGCATATCATACTGGAATATTGGAGACAGCATGGATGATTCTATTAACATGTCATACGTATTAGTGTTTAGGAGAAAATTAAGCCTCCACACCCCCTCTACATCCCTATGACAAACTTCCTTTGAATATTTATATCATTAAAAATTAGATATATCTGATACTGGCCTTTGGACATATGGATCATTTTCATTTGAGCAATGAAAGTTGCAACAAAAGAAAATTATGAACAATAAAAGGCTCAGAGGGAAGTCTCTCGGAGCGCAGTCCCGACATTGACTGATCCTGCACTGACAATTGTAACTCTTCGGACAAGTCGCATTGGTCAAGGTCATGCCAGAAAGACATAGTACTCTGGGTTGTGATCCATTGTTCTTTGTAAGATTCAGCAAGCAGTCACAATGTAGTGTTTTTATGAGTTGCCAATCTCAACTACATTTTAAATAACAGTTTTGAGTGAAGGAATTTAGTGATCTAATTATATAATTTCCACAGTGAGCTTAAAACATAACAAAAAATGTGTTGGATTAGTGTTTAATAAAACCACTTGTTAAATAAATGAAAATAATAAATTTGATTTTCAATAGAACCTACATTAATGTTAGAGTTATTTGATTTATTTCACATTGTCCTACCTTGTAAATAATGACTATAATTAACTATTTAAGGCAAAAAATTAATTGAAAATTCTATGAAATATCAGACTACCGTACCGCGACTTATAAAATTAGGATAACGATTTCTAGAGTTCTAATTTTTTTCAATTTGTGGCTAATTTTTTCCCAATCAGTCCCATCATTGGCCTGATTGGCCATCATTGGACTTGCGGGGTCCTGGGCGATCCCCCAGTGAGCCCATGCCTAGCACTGGTGCTGAATATGATACAGTATCACCAGAATGAAACACCACATTATGTTTCAAAAGCAAGTAAAATAGATACATTAACAAACTCCATTACTTAGATGTATTGAATGGTGAGATAAAAAATAAAATAAAATTATTAAAACTTACAGTCGCATATTCAGTTTTCACAGTTTCCTTTTCCCCAGTTTGTTTTTCCTTGTCAACAAAATATGAATCTGTTATTGTTTGTTCTGATGACTTCTCAAGGACCCTTTTTAATTTTGCTTTTGCGTGCAAAGTTGCCTCCAAAGTTTTTGACGGTAACTTAGTCCCAATGTTCCATATCAACTTATTTTTAGATGCAACGGTAAGAGATCCTTGTGAACATTTTGGTTTAACAGCAGTAATTAAACAGTTTAATGGTATGTGAGCCTCCAGTTTCTGAAATCCATTTTTAACACCACTTTGTAATTTTAATTTAAAGGTAATATCTGCAATGTCTTCTTTAACCTAAAAACAAAACATTGGACATCTAAGCTTCTTATCTAAGCTTCAAAAATGGGGAGAAAATGTAAATACAATGACAGTACCTTCATGCAAAATGTAGCTATTATCGGAGGAGGAAATACAGTCTTCATTTTGTAAAGGCACAAATTTTGTGATTTGATTGGGTGAAACCTCAGGCGAGTTGATGATGCAGAAATTGTTTCAACACTGGTCACACAAGCATTTACTAACAAACCACATTTGTTTTCATGTAAATTTGTCAACACAACAGATATTTCTGGTGACACACCTTCTACATCTGAAGTACATGTGACTGTACCACATATATCTATTGGGTTTGCATTCTTACTCTGATTGCACTGAAACATATAATTATGATCAAAATTATTGCTAATAAACTAAGTAAATTTAAAATTTCGCATTATTATATCATACTTATATGTACTTGAATGCATCTTATTTCTTCTTTAATGGAAAATATGACTTGAGACTTGCCCCTATATTGTAATGGATTCCAGGCAGGTTGCTGAAAAATATAGATCAATGTTTACTTCTTTGGACTGACAAAGAAAATTGCAAATATATTACTGTCATAATACCTTCACTTTTCCTTTCCAGGAAGTTGATGAAAAATTCAGAGCAACCGATGGATTACAGCAAACAGGTCTTCCATATGGAAAGGCACAGTTAATATACCTCAGTAATTCCACTCTATCTATTTTTTCCTACAATGTGAAAGAAAAAGTTAAAATATATAATGGATTAGGTAAAATCGCTATCAAGGGAAACATTCCTTAACAAAAAACTACTTTTTAAGCTTTCAAATGAGCCCTCATCTGTCTCTAAGTGGTCTGCCCGCATCACAATCGGTACCAAACATTCGGGAAGACACCCTTGCAGATTATCGAGGATAAGGTCCCAATTTCAAACATTGATCCAATCAGAGAGTATATTACTTCACTCCTCAAACTTGCAAATAGCCCTCAACCACTTTTAAATGTATCTGGGTTTTAATCAGAATCAAACATTAAGTGCTTAACTTTTTGTATATTATAATCCGTATATGAATCTTTATAACTCTAACAAGATGCTCTCAAAAATAATAATAGAGGATGAATAGTTATTTATTTTACAAGCGACTAAAAGAGATGATTATATGCTAGTTAGTGCAGTAATGCGAGTAAACTAGCCCGTAACAGTCTACTACAGCTACTAACGAGCCCATAATGGTCGTTACTCCACATGTTATGATGTTTTGTCTTATTTGATGGAATTTGTAACATTTTGACTTATTTTCCAACTGTATGTCAACTTGATTAATGTATTATATTGGCTTTAAGAGCATTTTATTATTTATTACATTGGATATAATAATATGCCATTTATTCTACTCTGAACACAAAAATTAAACAGCATGGAAAAGTGATTGAATAAGATCAAGAATATTGAAAGAGCTTTCATGATGGAAAAAGTTGATTAAAATCTAGATAAGCCATTTGAATATCTAATATCGAGAAGGGGAACAGAAGATTGGAAAAACGTTTAAACTTCTGCAATTTTCGAAATTCAAGGGTTTTAAAGACAATCCCACTTATGTCAGATTACTAAGTAAACTTTGCTCAATGTATTGTGGAAATTCTGATGTGGTATTATTCACGTAATTACATGAAGAAAATGGAAGTCATCTTTATCAACTTAATATATTTATTTAGAGGTACTTTAAGTAGATTTGCAATTTCAGAAAAATCATGAGAATATCTCATGATTATGTTCTGATATGTATTAATATCTCTCTTGTTAAATGTGCTTTAAATGCGCTTAAGTAAAGAAAATGTGTTGTAATCGTTCACTTTTTTATTTTTAAATTTGTATGACACCAAACTAATGAACAGTACATCAATTTTGTTTTAAAGAACTATATTATTTTTAATAGTTTTAATAGATTTAAATTTTAAGATATTTCTTTTTACAAATTCAAGCACCTTCAATGATTAATAATAAAATTAACATGGTTATCAAAAGTCAGTTTATTATCTCTAATTACTCCTAAGTCACATATTGTGGTAACACTTTCCAAAATATCATTATCTAGTACATAATTACTATCAATATCATTTTGGCCAAGATTGCAAATGAAGTTTACATTTATTGATATGAAGATTTCATAACTTATTCAACAACACAAATTTACTCTATCCAAATCTTTCTGCAGTTGAAAAGAGTCAGTTTGGTCAGAGATCACTCGCCAAAATTTACAGTCGTCCACCGAAATACTACAATTAGAATATTGAAAAACTTCACATATATTGTTGATAAATACTAAAAATAGCCATAGGCCCAGATGGGATCCCTGAGGGATCCCAGATTACTGATGTAGTATTAGATTTGTATCTCAGTATCTGTTTGAGATCATCAAATAACTCTCAATCCATCTCAAAAGCATAGAATTTAAATTTAATAATTTTAGTTTGCATATTAGTTTGTTAATGTCAACACTGTCAAATGCTTTTGAAAATCAGTGTATACTACATCAACCTGTCAGCCCTGATCTAGTGCATTAACATTATCAGCATAGGTCCACAGATTGGTCAGAGTACTCCTTCCAGACAACAAACCATGCTGCTGCTCAATTATCTTATCTTCAATAAAAGACTTAAGACTATCCAAGACTATGCTCTCAAAAACCTTAGCTGCACTTGATAATATGCTGATGGGTCTGTAATTAGTTACCAAATTTCTACATCCCTTTATAAACAGAGTGTTATATAACAAATTTTCCAACAAGCAGGAAATGTGAAAGTCTTCAAAGATTTCTCAAAAATGAAACAGAGTGAAACGGCAGTCTTTATGAATCCCCTGCGGAATATCATCTGGTCTAATACTATATATGTTTGTAAATTACAGTACTTTTTTCAAAATAGTTGGTGCAGACATTTTAAGTATTATTTGTTTCATTTCACTGGTTTGTTTAAGAAATTTATTTGGTATAAATTTATCAAAAATACTAATAGTTTGAGAATACAAGTAGTCACAAGCATCATCAAGGTTCATTGAATGCATACAATCGAACGAGTGTTAGCTTTTTGAAAATCAAATGTAGATTAAGAATCAGTGGAAATATAATTATTCAATACTGAATATTTCACGAGAATAGAAAGAGCAGGATGAAGTCTACGAAGATTAAATATATGATCATAATTTTCAGTAACTTCAGTACATATATCAGAAGCAAAACACAAATAAAAAATATACACAAGTTACAATTTACAATTTTATTCACCCAATAAAAGTTGTGGAAGCTTGAATAATTTGGCCATAACACAGCCTTGTCAACATCACTGGTTTCAGAGTAAAAAGAAAATCTATAATTTTATTACTCCGAAATAAGGCAAATTAAAATCTCCTAATATAACAAATGATTTAAAATTAGATGTTAATATTTCACGTAACACCTTACAATAATTACTGTAAATGTCAATTGATGAGGCAGGAGGGATATAAACAGCTCCCAACAAATACAATTTTTTAAAAACAGTTTCACAAAAACTGCATCATCAAATTTACTGATAGCTTCAATTAACGAACAGCTGATAGATTCATGAACTGCAATGAATACATCTCCACTCCTATTCTGTGAAAAGTCACAATCCCTGTCTCATCGAAAGATGTTATATGAAGATAGATTACATTCAAGGATACCATCATGAAGTGAGGATTCAATGATGATAAAAACATCCGGCCTTGATAACTTTGAATCAACATCCTTTATATCATCCAACTTAGTTTTCAATCTAGCTGCATTTTGATAATAAATACATAGGAACTCATTTAATTTTTTGATCCTGAATTCATACCACCACGACATCCAATTTTGTTCACCAAAACAGGCACACCAAGAAGAAATTTAATTAGTTTCACATTGAGGTTTTGTGGTTCAGCTAACTCTTCTTTAATTTCTTTAAACTTCTTTACTAGAAGTTTAGTATAGTCTACTTGAAATGTGTATTACATTTGTACCTCTTGCAAAGAATCAATACTGTTTCATGGTTTTTAAAAATAACTTTGAGAGAATGAGGACGATTTTCATTTACAGATGGAATCCTAGAAGTCTTAGAAAATAGCACATCCGATAGCCCCATGTATTCCAGAAACTTCATAATCTGATTGTCGTCATGAGTAATCATCTCTCTCGGCAATAACACCACTCTCAGACTCAACAATATTGTAAAAAATCAGATTGGTAGAACGACTAACTCTCCATCATTTCAAGATGTGTATTGTCATAATTTGACACCGAGACATCATTTTCCCCCTCATTTACAGCTGCCAAATTATCTAGCCTCTGCTCAATGGCTTTGAAAGACGACACTGCTCTCTCACAAAATGAGTACAAGGATTCTTCCAACTTCACCAGATTGTCCTCAAGCCTCTCAATCTACCATTACATTGAGGGCAGAAATACTTTGGTTTTCCGTTCTAGACATTGCTGTTCAGTTGATGTAATACTTTCACTATCATAATGAATAGGACAATCATATATGCAGCAAATAGCATATTTGGAACTTGGACAACATTCACTTGCAAATACCACAAATTTCACACCTCATCTCAAATTTTAACAGAAAAAAGTTATATATGAGTGAAATTTTACTTATAATACAAATTGTGTGTATTTAAATAGCAATAACACAGTCTCTAATATTTTCATAATCTGCTTGTAAACAAATTCTATATACCAAATTTGATAAGCGTTTCATTATGAAAATTGTCTGGGGATAAGGGAAGGCTGCCAAGTCTGTGAATCAAGGCACGGAAAGCTACATGTTTATGAGCAGATGTGTGTTGGGATGCGTTGTGGATGACAGTGTCCGTGCGTCTGTGTGTGTGTGTGTGTGTGGGGGGGGGTCTAAAAACATTGAAGATGTGTTTGTTGCCTACCCTAGAGATGATTGATGATTAGGCCTAAGAATATAATGGATTGATTTTCACTTTCTAGTTCTGCAGTGAATTTCATGGGGACAGAGGTAATCCCATTGGAAAATCATAGTATTGTTTGTAGAAAGAATTATTGAACATGAAGTAGTTAGTAACAATGCAGTGCGAGATCAATTGTTTAGTTCTGTTTGTATTGGTATGGAATATGTAACCTTGTAAAAGATGTTTTATAAAATTAATTTACATTCTTCAGTCAGAGTGCTAGGGCATAAGTTTGTAAGGTCAAAGGATATCAGTTTAGCCTTGGACAGCTTGTGTGTCTTGAAGTTGGGTCATGAGTTCCACACTGTTTTTGATGGTACGGAATGGTTTTAAATGTATATGTTCATGAAAGAGTTTATTGAGTCAATGAGTGAGAGTGGGTGATAGTGTTGGTACAGGACAACAGGCCTAAATGGTATGTTTTCTTTGTGAATTTTAGGGAGACTATAGAGCCAAAGGGGTGGTTGGAGGTATAAAATATCTGGATTTAGTGAAGAGAGTGGAGAGTCCCAGATCTCAATTTAACAAGAAGTTTACTTGTGGGGTCTTTAGGAATTTTTTCAATGTTTTCATCGTTCATAAATTCATTTATTTTGTCATTGCAACCTTGGGTGTCAAGAACTAAGACCGTGTTCCCTTTGTCTGCTTTTATCATTTTAAGTTATTTTTGGTGGCTTTCTTGAAAAGCTGTCTGACAGAAGAAATTTCATGATGTGTGTTTTTGCTATGGGAAGTTATGATTTTGTTGCAGGACAGAGGGTTAGCAAAATCATATTTAACTTCAAGCATGTTGTTTGAAGTGGAAACCTTTGTGTCCATTTGAATGCATAATTGTTTAAGTTTAGGGCTACTGAAGAAACTGAGTAGGGTGACAATGTGTGAGGCCTTTTTCTAGAAGTGAATGTCATTATTGGATAGTCTTGTGGTATGTTGTTTACTTTGGGGTGGAAGACTGAATTGCTAAAAGATGATGATGGTAAAGCCATTGAAAGCCAGCTCTCTAAATAAATAAATTAAGTTGACGGAGATGACTTCCATTATTTCTTCAAACTTTGCTTGATCTGAGAAAAAAAGTTGGAGACATTTTGAAGAATATCTTGTGTATGATTTCTACTTTTTTTTTGTTGCCACATTTCACTCAAAATTTAATGAATACTATTCATATTTTCAAAAAACATTGTACATGTCCTTGAAGTTATAATTTTGAAAAACAGATTAAGGAATATTGCATAAAGAAAGAAATCACAGACTTCAATTTTTGTATTGGATAGGTGAGAAAAATATTTTACCTTTTGCAATTCAAAATTTCATAACTTTTTACATTTTTATATGTTTGTTAAGTTCTACTTGGGTAAAAAACACAGTAAAAAATCAAGCCATTTCTGAGAAAATTTTGAGTTTGAATATTTCTTCTCTTCTATAAAAAAAATGACAAAAAGCATTCCAAAAGCATTATATAACTTTTTCTGAACCAAATATAAGAGAAAGTTAAAAGTACACATCTCTTTCTTTGGGCTCTGAAAACTGCATTAGTGTATCAACAAACATTTTGACCAATCCTAGACAGCTGGCACCAATGCCTTATCTACATTTTACGAATAACTACAAGAAACATTTTAAGCAACTCAAAGCTAACATTTTCAGCAAGTAGTAACTTATAATAATTTACAACTATTTTTATTTCTTGTCTCTGGACTTGATTCCAGAGCTCAAGAATGTGTGTGGAAATTATACTTCTCCCTCACACATCACATACTATAGTTTTTACTTTTTTTTTTTTTTTTTTTACTCAAATAAATCAAATCATACTCATACTTATTTCCAATAAATTATGAAGTAAAGATATTCATGCCATAAAATAATGAATAACCTGTGATGTGGTGCAGTTATCCACATGTTGTGATAGACCATTTAAAGCTTCAAGGCATGTTGTTACACTCGCCCTAAAATCAATGCACACAATCAATTAATAAGAACTAAATGTATTTCTTTTAAGAAAGCACTTTCTTTCAAGGCACTCACATAAAAGCAAGTTTCATGCTGCCTGATTGCTGATTTATTTTAAAATTTTCCTCAAAAGTTATAGCACAATAAATTAATTTCTTATGTTGGATTTTTATAACAGGCCATAAAATCCCAAAATCTGTTTTCAACTGAAATGCTGGATTTGAGAATTCTTTCTCACAATTATCACGTTCTTCCACAAAGACATCTGTTGAAATACCAAAACATGTTTTTATGTATAAACTATAAGTAATGTATTTACAATGTTAGCTACATAAAACATTACCTCCATTTTTAATTCCAGTCTCAATGAACAAAAGTTTTACAAATTCTCTCTCTGAAGGAATTTTCACATAAAATTGCCCAAATCTTGACTTGCACCGCACTTCAACACTAGGAAAGTACCTTTAGGAAAAATAAAAAAGAGAAAATGAAAGTTATGAAGTGAACATTATTAAAAAGAATGGTAGAATAGGAGAAGAGATAGAAAAAGAGGTCATTCATTACTGGTCGTGCCATTCGGCATTGCAGAGGCAGTCTGACATGGAAGAAAATGGTGTTTGGTTTCAGGGCTCTCCTTTACAAGGGATTTCAGAGTCCAGAATTCACACAGCCTTGTCAGGATCACGCAAAGGAATGAAGGAGTGCTATGATAAATGTTCCTCGGTGACTATACATTGCAGGTGACATGTACTATTATTATAAAAATGAGTAAAAACAATTAACTCTTCATTACATCAATCAAGTAAAGAGGAAACATTTATGAATATGAATACTAATACTAATACCAACATACATATGGCATGGTTTTGCAGGCAGCATTTGATCCTTTATTAGTGAAGTTGATGATATCTATGCAATTTTTTAAGAATATTAAAACATGTCTTAAAAAGTTGTTAACTCCAATTTTATTTTGTGAAAAATTATCACCACCATACAACTTTTAATTCATGCATGTAACAATTTTATTATATTATGTGTGTGTGGTGGGCGGGGAGCTGTCATACACGCAGCATACAAGAGATATTACATCTCCTTACATGTTGTTTTTATTCGCTAGAGAAACTTTCGGTTTGTTTTGATTGGATAAAGTTCTAATCACAAATCAAACCAGACAGCAAGTTGCTCTAAGGAATGAAAACAGCAGCAAAGTAACATGCCAAAAAAAAAAATTAAAACGCCGACTGAGGGGATTCTTTGATTATGTATTTTCGAATACGCACAAGATTGTTTAAATATTACGGCAAAAAGAAAAATATTTATCTTATTACTTGCAAAATATTGGAACCTCTGCATCTTCTGATGGTATGATATAAACGGCTCGAATGCTCATTTTGATTATCGGAGAGAAGATTGATAAGATTTGTCTAATTGCTAAACAAATTCAAAAACTAAACGATATAATTCAACATGTAGTCTTGAAATGTATTATACAGTATTCGCGGTGTATCACCTGACACATAGTCACATCTATACAGTATTACTCGCGCAACTTTTCTTGAACGATGACCTTCTTCCCCCTCCCAGGAGCCCAACTCCTAACAGTTGAAGGCAAAAGCTCGCAAAGGGCAGTGATGACAACCTTCCATGCATTAAAACTTCGTTGGCGCGAGCCAGAGAGGGCGCAAACAAGCGCGAAACAGAAGCTAGTCAAACGTCAAAGTAGTCAAAGTCGGTTGCTTTCATAGTAGAGAATCTATGCTTAGGTTTATTGTTAGTATCGAAAGGAATGGCTCAGACAGGTCCAGGTCCTTCAAGGCAGACACCTAAAACTCCCGAAAAAGTGAAGAGGAGACACAGCGGCGAACGCAAAATTATTGAAAAAGTTGTGAATGCTTGTGAAATGGAAAAGGGGAACATCCTCAGTCATGCTATAGATCGGGCTTCTGCGTATACTGGAGCTAGTATTTCTACTATACGTAAAAGAAGGTTAAAAAGAGCCAATGACCCTTCTCAATCACCAGAAACGTCCGGTAAAAAGGTAATATTTAAGGAAACCAATTTATCATACTCTGTAACCAGTTCTTTGCATAATATTTCCATAAACGTTGCTCATTGCTTCAAATGAAAGGCTGATTTGTAGTATTTTAAGACTTCAAAAAATGTTTGGCTTGTTAGTTACTCTTTAGACAGTCACAATTTATAAGAAGAAATTATTACAATAAAATAAGATTTGTCACTATAGGCAAACAAACCCAGTACGCTTCAAAACACAAGAAATTAACCAGTTGTGCATTAAAAAAATATAAGGAGCAACTTTAAATACAAATCTGAAACAGAACATTTCTACTAAAGGTGTACTGAGAGCAAAAATCAATTAAGCTAGAATGAAAAAGTGAATACTTTTCAGTGAGCACGTATCTTAGTAATCAATTATTTCCTGGAATCGAATATTCCTTTATTACAATCAATCAATGAATAATTGTTGTTAAATATTATTTATATTATTATGACAATATAGTATTAAAAAACAAAAAATATTCATGTTTCTTATATTTTACATTTCAATTGAAATCCCTTGTTCCATCACCTGTATTGCTGTTTGGTATCCACTCATTATTTAGAAAAGTTTAATTAAATAACATTTAATTATGGTATAATTTAATATTTTAACATTTATTTATTTTTAATCAAAATTGCCTTGTTGACTTCAAAATGATCTTAGATTAATTTTCTGATTAGCAAAATATAAACGTCTTCCATTTTGCTGGGGCAATAAACATGGTTGCATTATGACACAAAAATGAATTCCTTCTTAATTCTGTCAAAACTAATATTGTTTTTAAAAATATTAATTACTTATGATATTATAAATCAACCATTCATTCTAAGAACTTGGAAAAAATGGCAAAAAGATGTAAAAGAGAAATATAGATATATTTCAATTATAATAAATTGGACTTCTCTGTAATTATTAACTTAAGGCATCCTATCTTAAAATATATAAAATTTAAATATTATTTAAGGGTTCATGTTTTTCTTTTTCATGTTAGAACAAGAACAAATGTAAGGTTGCTGTCAATGATTATGACAAGAGAGTTATACAAGATACAATCCAGCAATTTTATTCAGTTGCAAAAATTGTTCCATCATTAGAAAAGCTTCTACCTGTTCTGCAAGAAAAGGTTAATTGGAAATGGGGAGAAACCTCTCTTAGAAAAACATTATTGTGTATTGGCGAACTCATTTCATTTTCCAAATGAAAAATTTGAGAGAGAATGGGAGAGACATGTTTTACCATAGTGACAAATCATGGATCGACAGCAACCTTACTGTGGGAAAATGCTGTTGAAGAAAAGATGTTATTGGTGTCACTGATTGGGGAAGTACATACAAAAGATTTATTGTGGCTAGTATTCGTTCCAAAAATGGATTCATTGAGGAGGCTCAATTAATATTTAAAGCCAAATCAACAACACAGGATTATCATGGTCAGATAAATTGTGAAAATTTTGAAAGATGGTTTGGTACAAAAATACTTGACAATCAGTCTCCTGAATCAGTAACAGTGTTGGACAATGCATCATATCACAGCAGACTGGTAGAAAAAAAAAACTTGCAGGCATGACACCAAAATAACCATGGTGCAATGGTTAGAAAATAAGAGCATTTCATGTCACATGTCCATGAGAAAAGAAGCACTATCTCAAAAAATTAAGGCAAATATGCCTGCTCATAAGACGTATGCTGTTGATGAAATGGCAACAGGAATAGGCCACAAGGTAATTCGTCTGCCCCATATCATAGTGATTTGAACCTCATAGAACTTGCACGGGCTAAAATTAAAAGATATGCCAGAGGGCAGAACATTTCAGGAGATATATCAGCAGAAAATTTGCTTAAGCTCACTAAATCGGCTTTTGTATAAGTATCTCCATCAGACTGGGAAGGTTATTGTAAACATGTACAAAACCTTGAGGTAGAATATTGGACTAAGAATGGTATTCTAGAAATGTCCATTGAAGAAATTATTATTAACACCTCTTCAGGATCCAGTGATGAGAGTAAAGGTTCCCATTCATCAGAAACTCAATATTCTGATTAATCTGAGCCATTACCTGACTTGACATTAAAAGCATCGGTTATGACTAACTTGCTCTCAAAAGGTAGGGTGGTTGGGAGGGCAAGTGAGGAACTCGATGTGTAGACACCTCCACGTGGTGAGTTCTGGGTAATTTCGACAAGAATGCTTGTCAAAATTAGCAAAGATCTACACAAGCCGACCGCTTAAATACTATTCGTCTAATGTCCGTGCTGTGACCTTCCCAGACCGATGACCTGGCAGTAGTGATGGCATCCGGACTGGCAGCACAAGATTCAGGTTTGACTTTGAGTTCGCCTTCGCAGACAGTTGGCATTACTTAAAATACTCTAGTGGCCGACTTTGAAACTATTACCCCCCACTCTGCATGCATTTCGTCAATCCATCGTCAAAATATTAATAATGTAACGTTTCTCGGTGGTGAATTAAAACACACACAGGTAATATTTAACAACAACGCTTATTTTGTTAACTATGCTGCACTAGAAATACTTGATCTATTTACAGATATATTACTCAGTCCTTGTGTTCTTCACTTGATTATTTTCCTTACACACGACTTCGGCCTCTTAATTATTTATTTACACTGTTCACCTCTTCTGATTATTTACACTGTTCACTTCTACATTATCGCATAGTCCGATGCACTGTACACGGTCCACTGCGCAGACCACAATTTCACTGTGTAGACCAGGGTCCACTGCACTGCTGTTTACCGCGATGCACACTTCACAGCTCAGCTGCCACTGCAGACTTCAAAGTGCTGACTGCTGTTCACCCGCGGCACCAGTGTCCACCGCAATGAACACTTCACGGCTCAGCTTCCACTTCACACAGACTACTGCATACTCACACTGACTGACTGCTAACTACTACTACTTAACTACTTACACTGACTCGCAGCCGCCGCTAGCGGCAAATTTATACCTGGCCGGCGCCCGCCTCGAGCCATCGGGAACGTGCGCCACATTTCTACGCGACTCGCGAAAAAACCGGAACCGTCTAGTTCGGGGGGGGGGCGGCAGATGACGTAATCCGCGAGCAGCGAATTCCGGCAGGTGATGCAATTTTCTTTACAATAATAATAATCACCAGTACCGACAGTCGGGGGTGGGAAGCAGACCCCGGCGTTCGTCATCCAACGATTGCAATGACAGAGACGTGGACCACTTGGCGACTGTCAAATAATGCGTAAAGTGAATCTCCGATTCAAGTAGAACCCAGGCCTGGAGGGAAAAGGAATGCTGTGGACTGACGCAGGAAAGATGGGAAGCTATCCAAGAGCTGATGAAGGATAATATAGAGATCATAGAACGTTTGCATATGCAGCTACCTGTCATTGTGAAAACAATGTTAATAATCCTGTGATAGGAAAACTTTGGCCACAGCACAAGATGTTGGAACACAGAAGAACAGATAGCAGGATATCAGTGAAGAGCATGAGTGGATTCATGATAGATTGCTCTTCCTGAGAAAGGGTGACATACATGCCGAGGATACAAGGCATGGCAAGAAGAGGGACGGTGCTTTCAAGGATACGGCGCAAGAGGTGGCAGAAGAGAGAGTCTTCGGAGATCCTGAGCTCGCTGTCAAAGAGAACGACAAGGCAAGAGAAGAGAAATTGAATGCTATGCGAGCACTAAGGAAAAAGAAGGCAGCGCCTAGTCCGCCAGAGGAGTCTTAACAGATAATCAGAATAGAGTAATCACGGTGGAGAATACTCCTGGAGGAAGCCATGGAAATCAGAGAGAGTTGATAGGACATCTTGAGATGAAAGGAAGCCAAGAAAAGGAGCGCTAGGAAGCCCGCCCTTCTTTGCGAACCCAAATTAATTCGGTGCATTTTATCTTAAATATTGCTTAACGTGAGGGAAATACAAATCCTCTCAGAGCGTTTCCGAAACACAGAATTTTAAAACACGCGCCGTTCGGAAGCTGCGATTGATAGTCATAGAGGAGAGATACAATCTCTGCTCTATGTTGATAGTCCCCCGTCAGTGCTCTTCGTGGAAGCCAGCCGGGGCACATTTGGAAAATACGAACGAGTAGAGCGCGTCATAGAATGCCGGGCCGGTGGGGAAAGAGGGAACAAGAGTGTCTTTATGGACTAAAAGAGCATTCGGCTAAGTGTGCGTCAGAGCTTTGACAGGACTCGATGCTATAGCTCAGGCTGAGCTAGCACAAGTTGGTAGGAGAAGTACGTGTGACATTGAAAGAAGTAAGTGTGAAATATCTCTCCAGTGAAAAGAGCTCTCATCCCTTCCAATAAAACTGTTCTTCGCTAGTACGCGAAGGCTTTGCTGTGCAGTTATGCATTCATAAGAATTGTCTTAATTTAATATTTTGAACTCATTCTTGTATATTTTGAAGGGAGTTGCAATTACAAATACATTTCGAATTAATGAAAACCAAATGCATTTTGTAACGGTGGATGGATATGCAAAATACTCAATAACGTAGCGAAAATTACGGAAGATCAGGCCTCA